TAGAGCTTGTTTTTCTCAGCTGGGGGGTTATACGACGGGAAGCTCGCGAACGTCACGGGGATTCCTCGTAGCTACGAGATAAAAGCGTCGTCCCACACCATCTACTTTCCGCCGGGCGCTCCCGCGTCGTCTTGACCGTCCATGGTGTAAAATCTGATGTTTGCGGGCATTCTGTCGATCATGGACGAGGCTTTGCTCACGAAATCTTGCCGAGCGAGGTATGCGCCTCTCAGCCACCTGCGGCCGGAATTCAGGTCGAAGGCGTTGCGGGCGTGCACGACCCTGAGGTTGTTGAAGATGACGCACGTGCCGCTGTCCATCTTCTCCTCGACCACCATCTCAGGCCGCTCGAGGATCGAGGCGAAGGCGTTGCTGGCTGAGACGAACCGCACGAGCTCGTGGTGTTCCAGTTTCGGGTGTATGTTGCCCACGAAAGGGGGCGACCAGTACACGCGTCCGATGTCGGACATCACATATGGGTGCTGGGCGTTATGGGTCGGACGGTTGGGGACGTTGAGTTCCTGGCGCTTAAGAATGGTGGGTTTGAGGTCTGAGTAGAAGTAGCCGTCGTTGTCGTACTCGTAGCGAACGGGGTACGCCATGAGATCCCGGACTTTTGCTGGATCCTGCGAATAGAGCAGGTCGACGGCTTTGAAAGTGTCGGCGAACCGAGACTCGCCACCCACGCTTTCGTTGTGTATGCAGTGGAGGAACTGGAAGGCCGGGGGCTCTCGCATGTACAGTAGGTCCATGTGGAAGCCCAGATACTTGGCCGTATAAGCGACATTTTTGGCGTTGGGGACCGACCGGACATCCCAGGTAGGGCCGTAGAAAGTATTCATGAGCGGACCGATGCGGGTGACTATCTGCGAAACAGATGCCTCCGACTCGGGCACGCCGTCGACAAAGACGAGGCCATCTCGCCACAACAGGTGAAGAGTCTCGGCTAGCGCATCGTCATTGCTCATGTACTCGTTGAAGTCGAACCGGTTGGAGTCGCGAGTGAAGGACTCTGAGTCCCACAATTTCTGCGCCAAACTGTACAGATACCAGTGCGGGTTCCGGAACGGCTTCCTCAGGGAAGAGATGGTCTCCTTGTCGAATATTGTTGACTTCCCTGCCGAGTGGGAGGGGGCATCGTTGCGCCAGCTGACGATGGTCTCGCCCGAGTTCTCGACGGGAGTTATTCTACTGAAGCTAATGTCCGTGGGAATGTCTGCGTAGGAGAAATTCCGTTGTCGATCAGAAGGGTCAATGCATTCCGAGCACTTGCAAGCGTCGCGGGCGAGAATTGGGGATACGAGAGGAATGCCGTTGTCCACCAGGATGCCTTCTCTGAGCTTTTCACCTCGAGACCAGCTTTTGGACGGCGTGGCCCCTTGCGTTGAAGCTCCGACACTGTCAAACAGCTCATTCAGGCCCGTGGTGGTTGGATTAGTATCGGGCGTCGAAGATTCCTCCAGGTCATGAACAAGGCTTTTCAGCCTCGAATTCCTCGCTCTGACCTCGGGGGCGGATAATGGGCCTGTCCCGATGGGAGCACGTCCTGGCACAATATTCCTGAGTCTCTCAGTCGGTTGACGGACTCTGCTGCCAAGCTTCGCCAGGCCTTTTCCGGCCCCTTGTAGGCGGATTCGCATGGTGATCAATACCCGGACGGGTAGGGAAATACTCCGTGTAAGAAAGCTACCGGGTAAAAATGGCGAATTTGCAATACGAGGTAAACGTTTGACCGGTCACAAATCAACACCAGCGAGTAGATATATGTACAACGAAGCCATGAGAGAGAAGAGCTAGTTGGATAATGATTGATCCGAGGTTGGCAAGGCTGAAGGGAAGCGGTTATCGCCAAGAACAATACCAGGACGGAGGAAGTACGGATGTAAGTAGGTAGGTGCACGGAGTAGCTAGCTACCTTGCGCTGTTGAGCAGGGAGGGGTCTAGCTAGCAGCTTGGTTCCATTCGGGCGCCCCTGGGCACTCCCAGAGCCTTTCGGCGGCATCCCACAGGTCGATGCCAGGTGCCCCTCGACATCATCATCACCGCCCGGCTAACCTGCTGTCTTTGTACCTGCGACCTTGCTTTGGATCCTCGTAACTGCCTCACTGCCCTTCGTCCCCCACGACCAGGACCTACTGACATACAACCGCAGTCGTAACCATCCCCCTGCTGACATCCGATATCCTTCATTCTTTCCTGCATCTCCCTCGTCCGTCACGAGACATTGTCCGTCTCATTCCCATCGTCCTGTCACTTGAATCATCACCGCTTTGCTGCCTGAGCCGCACCGCTTACAAAACTCTCCAAACCCTCGCATCTCAACCAGCCCAACTTCGTCACTTCACTTCACCCCATAGACAATCAGCGCTCACTACCGCGCCCGCATCCATTCATATACCTACGACACCTGAATTGAGCGCGACTGCTCCATGCCCCGTCAGCGGTAATTTCCTCAGTCGATCTAGGGTGCTACTGCTGTGTGCGTGCTGCCGGACGTTCTGGACCTGCAGCGCACCCTGTGATGAAAGATGGTCGAAACCGAACCCGGAACTCCCACCTGGAAGTTCACTCAATGTTTTGGCGATAAAGGCGATGTCGAAGACATAACAGAGGCTGATATTATCTCAACTGTCGAATTCGACCACACTGGAAACTATCTTGCAACCGGAGACAAAGGTGGTCGTGTTGTCCTTTTTGAGCGCAATGAGACTGTCAGTGGCTACAATGCCAATTTCACTGTTCCAACTGCTAACCTTGTGAACAGAAGAAGACGTGCGAGTACAAGTTCCATACAGAGTTCCAGTCTCACGAACCTGAATTTGATTACCTCAAGTCTCTCGAGATAGAAGAAAAAATCAACAAGATCAAATGGTGCCGTCGTCAGAATGCTTCACACTATCTTCTCTCTACAAACGATAAGACCATCAAGCTCTGGAAAGTCTTTGAGAAGTCCCTCAAAGTCGTCGCCGAGAATAATCTCTCTCACGAGCTCACCCCAGCTGGTCCCGGCGGCGGAGGTGCTGCTCGTCCTAATCACATCCGTTTCAAGGATGCTTCACAGTTGAAGCTGCCTCGAATGACCCATCACGATACTGTTGTGGCTGCAGTCCCTCGACGCACGTACGCTAATGCACACGCTTATCACATCAACAGCATCTCGGTCAACAGCGATGGCGAAACCTTCATCAGCAGTGACGATCTCCGCATCAACCTGTGGAATCTCAATATCCAAGACCAGAGCTTCAACATTGTTGATATCAAGCCCGCGAACATGGAGGAACTCACCGAGGTCATCACTGCTGCCGAATTCCACCCCCACAGCTGCAATTGGTTCATGTATGCCAGTTCCAAGGGCACCATCAAACTGGCCGATATGCGCGAGAGCGCGCTGTGCGACCACCACGCCAAACGTAAATATCTTCCCTTCTCGGTTGTAGTTACACACTGACGCTCTGGCAGAATTCGAGCAAGAAGAAGACCCTTCCTCGCGATCCTTCTTCTCCGAAATCATCTCCTCCATTTCTGACGTTCGCTTCTCACACGATGGCAGGTACATTTTATCAAGAGACTATTTGACGGTCAAGATCTGGGACGTGAACATGGAGAGGCAACCCGTCAAGACCATACCCATCCACGAACATTTGAGGCCCCGTCTGTGCGACACCTATGAAAATGACAGCATTTTCGACAAATTTGAGGTGGTTTTCAGCGGCGATGGAAGCAATGTCATGACAGGAAGCTACAACAACAATTTCATGATTTACCCCTCAGACCCCGAGCAAGAGACGGAAGTGGTCTTGCAGGCAGACAAATCGGCCTTCAAGGCTAAGAAAGTTGGAGTGCCGACACCCATCAATTCGGCCAGCCCCAATGGAGCCAAGAAAGGTGGTTCAAGAGCAGGCAGCCCTGCCGCTGCAGGTCAAGGAAGCAGAATGAGAAAGGAGACAGATGCCGACCAGATCGATTTTAACAAGAAGATTCTGCATATGAGTTGGCATCCGTTCGAAGACAGCATTGCCATTGCTGCGACGAACAACGTGAGTCTCCTGTCTCTTTTGTAACCGTCTTTGTCGATGCTGATGGATATCTAGCTCTTTGTCTTTTCTGCTCTTTAGATTTGTCCCCAAGGGACCTGTTCGCGACTGTTCACCAGTTTTCGTCCTGGCACTCGCGGCGCGCAATGCGCTGGGGTTGAATGAGGCGCCTCTTGCGCTCGTAGCATGTGGGCGCCTGGCTTGCACATGTCGGATGGCGCGTGATTGGCCGAGAGGACGATGTAACTTTGATACGACACCATGCGGGTCGGCAAGGCCGAAGACGACCGGCAAACGACTGCAGAGGAGTGCGGATCGGGAAAATGACTACTGGAAGTGAACGACGCAGGGGTTGGCTGATTCTGCACATGTGTCTTTCTTGTCTCCAAGGGCTGCACATATGTGGCCCGAGGCCGGGCTTCTTGGATTCCACAATCGAATTTTGCAATGAGCGAGATGGGACGGAGGAGAACCGAAGGATGACAATGAAGGTCCAGGAGGATGGAGGTTGAGCTTTGGCTCTTAGGATCGTTTGCGAAGCAGAACGATTGCGGGGGCAGAGAGACAAGATCCTAGCCATTCTTCTGATTGACACGTTGCACATTCGATGAGGGCTGCATAACTGCGCAAAAAAGACCAATCAATCGAAACGAGCGAGACAGACAGAGCTGACAATCAAAGTAGCAGAAAAGAAAAATGAGAAAAATTGAACACTGAAAGGGAACTAGCTGTGCAGATGACACATGCACGAGATGTAGGGCCGACGGTCTCTTTCTATTACATTTGAATTCTCTCCATGTGCTTCTTCCGTGCCATGGCCGTTGTCAATGTCGTGTCTATTTCCCTGCCCACGCAATTTTGAGGGTCAGTCAGTCGTCGCCGAGTGGGGAATACTATTCCCGGCAAAGATTCATTGTCTGTCTGCCTGATATCTGAGGCGCCAGCGGCGGAACGTACACATAGACATTAAAGGTGGTGGTCTCCGAAAGATTCCAGACCCCTCTCGGCCACAGCGGCCGCTGGAGTTGAGGAGTCCATGTGGCGACCATCCGTTTCCATGGGTGTTCCCGACCGCGCGCCGTTCACTCTCTCTGCATGTTCCCTGCGGACTCTCTCGAGCTCCTGGCCGGCCTCTTCGAGGCTCCTCTGAATATGATCCTGGCTTTGCTTAATCTCGGCCTTCTCGCGCTCGATGTCGGCCTTGCGTTTCACGATCTTGGCTCGCTCGAATTCCAAGGCCGAGACCATGTCGCGCAGGCGTGTCAGCCCGACGCTGAGTTTGGGGATGAGTGTGGTCTCTCGTGGTTGGCGCGGTCGGTTCAATTGGCGCTTGTGGACGGCGTGGGAGGAGAGCCCATCCATACCGTGTTGCGTCTGGGCCAACTCGTACTCTCGTCTCCGTTCGTAGTCGGAATCAGAAGCGGAACCGCCGTCGCCGTCGAGGGAGTTGTCGGGACTCCCACCTTCGGCTTCGTTGATGAGATTCCGGATTGCTTCCTTCTCCTTCCGACTCTGTTCTCGAAGCCCCTTCTTGGAAAGTGTGACGCGGCCGGTGTCCTCGACGAAGTCGTCGAATCCCTCGGCGATATCTTCATCTTCACGGACAAGGCGTGTCTCCTTCTCCCTCGGCGGAACTAGGTAAGAGGAGACTTGCATGCGGCGGGGTTTGAATTCGCCATCCGAGTCGTAATCTTCCAATGCGATGAAATCTTCCGTACTTCCCGCAGCCTGCTCTTTCGCTAGCCGCGCCCGCCGATCTTTCTTCTCTCGGATTTCTGCGGCGCTGGGGATGTGGGAGGAGATTGCGGAGGATAGAGTTACCGGCTTACCAAATTTGCTTTCAAGATCGAGTTCTAAATTCGCCGATGGCTCGACCAAGTCCAGAGACGGGCTCCCACGAGATGAGAGGTCTCGCGGCGTCGATGGGGTGGAGTTGCGCAGTTCGTCAAGGTAGGCCTTGTTGTATTTCGGTCTGTCGTGGTTTTGACCCTCGCCTTCTCTGTCCTCGTGGTCTCTTCGGGTGAGGATATCCTGTGCGGCAGTGGATAGGCCTAGTCTTGTCGCTGATTTGATTTGCGGCGCCGCGCCAGAATCTGCGGCTTCTCCTGCTCCTGATCCGTCTTCCTCACCCGGGTTGAATGATACTCGTAGCTTGGATTTTGTTCGTGGAGCATTGTGAGTCGGTCGTCTTACGACGGGGCCGGTGTCTACATACTCGCCGTCAGCGGGAACGATCACACTAAATTGGCGAAGAAGTGTCAGATAGAGTAACATGCAGTAGACATGTGTGGGCGAAAGTCGCGGACGCAACGTACCTTCGTCGCCATCATCTGGCAGATTATCTGGCTCTTCCCGCGCAACACGCTTCGGTTTCCGTCGCGCTGTAAAGAGTGTCGCCATTGTGAGAGGGTGATGGCAGATAAGTCGACGGACTTTACATGACGGAAAAGGCGACAGTCGATGCAGGATTCTGTATTTCGCAGTTTGCAGTTTGCAGTTTGAATTTGCGGGGAGGCGCTTGGAGGGAAATGGAAGGAACCGGACTATCACCGCCGAGCCCGCTTCCCAAATTCTCGCTGTCTGACAAAAAGATTATTTACTGGGCTAGCTGGGCGACGGATAAATGTTATGGACGCTATACTAGAAGTAGGCAATAAAACAGGGCAACACAGCCTTACGCATCCTTCCCCATCCTAGTCTAACTACAATCCAACATGGCTCCGGCGCCTAGTGCACTCCGTATACTCGTAGTGAACGGATGTCTTACCTTACCATGTTGAGTTCCCCTGGTAACAGATGGCACCACATCCAGTCTTTTGGCGGCTGCCTGTTTGGATACGTGAGTACTTAACAGTTGGTTCTGCCCTCCTTTATCGAAGGAAATTGATGTCCATCCACCAGGAGTATCTCAATTCGTAAAACGCAACTGGCAATCAACATACAGCATGGCCTCCTTCCTCGGCGCCGCCATTATCGCGATACTCGCCATCGCCCCCTCGACTGCCAATGCAGCTTCAACAGCCACCAGCGGCAGCTACACTCTTTGTCAATTCTATTCGAGCATCCCAGGGGCTTCCTCGGTTGATTCCACGTCAATGACGCTGCCTCTCTGCCCCTCTAGCCTGCTGACCTTCTCATACACAATTCCTTCGACGACCACCACGGCGCAGACAGCGGTTCCTACCTCTACGCCGTCCATCAGCTCATTAACTCTGTGCCAGTTCTACTCGAGCATCTCTGGGTTCCCCTCGCCAACAGAGCCTGTCTCGAGCATGACGTTGCCTTCGTGCCCCTCGAGCCTACAGGATATTACATACTCGTATCAAGCTCCCTTGGCAACCAGCAACGTTCCTGCGACTACAACATCCACAACACCTCTCACCGCCGCACATGCTACGACGGCTGCTGTGTCTAGCTTTACGGGCGCAGCTGCATCAAGACCGGGTTTAGATAGAATGCTCCTAGGCGGCGCAGGTGGTATCCTAGTGGGAGCTATTGGAATAATGTTATGATGGGTTATTCTGAGTTCACGACCCGATATAGATGATTTCATTCAGAATATGAACACATTGTATCGATGGCTTGAATATCTCTTCCGGAAAGTAGATGGGCATCCGAGGCAATTCCGCAGTAAGACCCATACCAGAATCAGGGGTTAGAACGTTCCATCACAGAAGTAGACTATAGTCCTGATGATACTTCCCTATTCGTGTACCCCATGTGGACGTGCCTAGGGATCCATGTGTATACAAGTACGGAGTGTAGTACCGGAAAGAACGCAATCTAGGCTAGGCCGTCATTACAAGCCTTGCACTGTTTCTGGGCATGCAGTTCGCTTACGAAGATACTGTACCCAGATTACTCGAGAACGAAAAATCTAATTGCCTTTTACGGTTTGATCTTAGAGGGTGAGCCATGGCCGCTTTAACCTGAGCTTTAACCAAGCCTTGGCTGAGCATCACTGAGCGCTTCCGAAGCACTCCCTGAACACTACACCGAGGGTCTAATTAGGCTCCCTATTGTAACGGAGCACTTCAAGGTTCGGCGTGCACGTGCAGCAATGCACAGAAGACTGTCCAGCAGATCGGGAATCGAGGACGCGTTTCTGGTCGACAATGATAGGGCAACGCCATCACCAACACCACCCCCAGAGAGGCAGTAGCTAGGGCAGCGAGCGCCTAGCACGGCGACGACATTGAGAAGTAGGAACGGGCCGATAAAACACTTAGGAATAGATAGACGGCGTCAAAGGCATGGAATACTAATACTCTCTCTGATAAAGTCTAAAGAATGGCGCTCTGCCAGCTCTGTTGTAACAGAGCTGTTCAGGGTTCGGCATGCACGTGCAACAACGCACAGAGGCCTGTCCAGCAGATCGGGAATCGAGAACGCTTTTCTGGTTGATGCTGACAAGACAACACCACCACAAACACCACCCAGAAGGGCAGCGACTAGGGCTACGAACACCTAGCACAGCGGAGGCATCGGGGAACAGGACAGGACTGATAAAGCACTTAGGAATTAGGTAGACTGTGCCAAAAGAGCGAATTCATGATCCTCTGCTAAACTGTCCAAAAAAATTGGCCCTCTGATAGCACTGTCAACTGTCCTTCTCCCAGCGATCTAATTAGGTTTGACATGTGACCTGAGAGACCTCTGCCTTGCCAGTTCACCACCAGCCCAGCACAGCTACGCCGCCTTGTTACACTGTAAACTGTCCCGCACTCCCCTTGCCAGCCCATTTTTGGTTTAACATGTGACTAGATAACTTCGCCCCCCCTCTGCTACTCCACCAGCCCTGCACAGCACAGCACAGCCACTTTGCCTTGTTACTATATGTGGGCACCTAAGTATGATTCCGCGGTTTTGTTTTAGTTTATTCAAGCACCAACTCAAGATATAGTGAAATTTTCACGAATAAAAAAAAATCGGTATACGCTGGGACTGGCTTGTGGAGTTTAAAGTTTTAAAGGGTCATTTTAATAGTAACAATGATTTAAGCCTTAATTAGTTGTTTCATTTACGTCCTATACATGGTTTAGAACGACAAAGACAGAAATCTAATTCCGCGATAACGTCGTTTAGATAATCCGAAAATTTATCCGGGTCCTTGCTTTGAAAGTATTCAATGGCTTTGAGAGTGTACAAAAGCGGGTGCGCGGGCGTTGCTTTCAGAGTATCCAATAGTATTGACCTACGCAACTGTGGTCAAAGTTTTCTATTTACCGAGTATCTAATGTGTATCCTTAAACGGTGTCATCGCTCTTAAGCTCCGAGTATATTTATTTGAATACGTTTCTCTTCCACTTACTCTGAAAGCGACGAAGGGAAAAAATTTTTAACTATTCTCGTTAATGGAATTTGGCGACAACTGTGATCCTTTGTCATGACCGATGCGATCACTTTCTATTCACATCGTAAGTTCAGATATTCTTTGGCCTCTGGCTTATGTTCCTTGTCACTCTCCTAGGTCAAGGCCCATTTCCATGGAAAACGGCAATTGTACTAAAGGAGCAGAGCATCCCACACAAAACAATATTTCTCGAGTTCGGAGATGGAAAGGATGGCGTTGAGACTATTGAGTTCTTGAAAAAGAACCCAGCAGGCCGGGTTCCGCTGTTGTTCGACCCTAGCACAGGTTCGCCTTCCCATTCTCTCGGTCTTGATATACTCTGTTCGGACACTGCCGAATTAGCTTTCTATTGACTGGCCTCTTTAGGCATCTCACTCACTGAATTTAATGTCATTGCTCTTTATCTAGTCGAAGCTTATTATAAAGAGAAGACCTTGGGCTTCACAGCTTTGAAGGAGAAATATCTCGTCCATCAATGGCTGCACTTTCAAAGTGCCGCCCAAGGTCCCATCTTTCAACAGGTGCTCAGTCCATTTTATTAGCAATTACCCATAACGTTAGACCTTTCTAATATCGTGCAGGTGTTCCAATTTGTGGTTCATAATATTGGCGGCGATAGTCTGGCTCGCTTGCGAGAAATCGTCAGACGCACTCTTGGTACTGTGAACCCCGCGTTGGAGGGCAAGAAATATTTGGGAGGAGAAAAGTGTACAATCGCGGTCCTTGCATTCATTACTTGGGACCTCACATTAGAGACATCACTGAGCGGCGACGAAGCAGCGGGTTCAAAGGAAAAGCGTGAGAAGCTATTTCCCAACTGGGCTTCCTGGCATGAAAGATTGCTTGCAAGACCCGTTGTCCAGAGAACACGAGAGACCCAGAAAAAAATTGCTGACGCCCGTTCTGCGATTCTACTGGGGCTATGAAATCACTTATATTTGGGCTGCAAAATCCTCAAAACATTTAAGCCCGTATTGGACCGATATTGAGCTGAGCGAAACTTTTTAATATATATGATCCCGATTTGCTTCTTCTTCTGTGCGGTCTAGATCACTCTGAAAATATTAAACTAATCAGCCAAGGTGGACAGAAATAAGTTTAGTGACAAGTCCAGAGCCATTGATCAAAGTCGTGGTAGTGATTTTAATGTTAATTTGCCATCCCCTAGATTAAGCTCTCTGATTACTTTTAACAAACCCTGATCATTCAGGATTTAGTCCCAAAATTCGTGTACAGGTGTACGAGGATGTCGCAAGAACATCCTAGATTTCTTGGATTTAAAAGTCGATTCGTACCGGAGGGAAAACTTCACCCGTAGTATTTGGGTCAAAGAGGAGATTGATGGAGTAGGAACTTGGCTTTAAGGGAAATGAAAGCCAACCTTCTCATATTATATTTCGTCGGTGAGAGGGTTTCTGAAGAAGCAACCATAAGTCCACCAGGTATCTCTAGCACTGGGACAGCTTATGCACCATCCCTGAATTTTGCTTGGGAGTTCCGCTGCTTGAAAGTAGGAAAATCAGTTCCACCGCCATGGAATTGATTCCACTTGCTTGTGGCCCACGAGAGACATTGGAATGGCTCACAGTAAGAGCCTTTGCTGTTGATGTGACCAATGGACTGGATTTATTCCATTTACCCTGGCGCGTATAGTCACCTAGTTTGTCCTTTCCCGTATACCACTGGACCTAATTTGTCAATCCAAATCATGTCCCCAAGAATGCGTCGTAAGCAAAACATACTGGAATAAGCAATAGAAGAAGGTTGGAAGCCGGTGGTATAGTAGAATTCCTGTAGGCATATACGATCAACAGTATTTTATTTCTTGCGTTTGTTTTACGTCGCCCCACAACCAAGACAAAGGCACCATGTCAGAGACTACTTGGAAAACGTCTGCACAGAAGAAGAGGGAAGCGATTCTGAATGCCCTTTTGGAACCCTCGAGGCTGACAGCGCCCATCGCGTCTGTCGATTAACAGCGGGATGTAACTCGAGCCTATATTCAACAGTTTCTGAGTGCGAGGGAAATCGAAATCACGGAAACCGATGCGGTGGGTATTCTCGGAAAAACAACAGCAGGAAAATGATCTGCCCGCGAAGTCACAGAAGTGTTCTGCCATCGTGCTGTCGTTGCTCGCCAGTTAGTGAGTAGCTTTGCTTTACATTCTATGCGAATGAATATAGGGGCTGATTATCTTGCGAGCTCAACTGGCTGCATGATGTATTTGTCGATACGGCTCTGGAACATGCCAATATTCTTGACGCGTACTATCAAAACCACAAGAGGCCAATTGGACCGCTTCACGTGCTAGCAATCAGTCTGAAGGATCAATTTCACGTCCAAGGCTCTGAAACAACGATGGCATATATTGGATGGATAGGCACATTCGAGGGTGTCAAAGGTACTGGTAAAGAGAAAGTTTTTGAGAGTCAGTTAGTTACAGACCTGAGGGCTCTGGGGGCAGTGTTTTCCTGTAAGACCGCTGTACCGCCTCCTCGAATGACGCCAGAGATGAACAACAACATTACTGGGTATCTCTGGAATCCCAAAACCGGAATCTGAGCGCGGGTGGTAGTTCGGGAGGCGAAGGCGCACTTCTTTCCCTCCGGGGAAGCCCTCTGGGTTTTGGGTCCGACATTGGAGAATCTGCTCGAGTCCCTGCATCCTTCAACGGTGTCTTCGGACTACAGCCCTCGACTGACCGAATTCCATACGAAGAGACTCTGATCAGTATGGAGGGCCAAGAAGCTGTTCCTTGCGTGATTAGGGCCACTTGCGACAACGATCAGATCGTTGCAGTTCGTGGTGAAGGCTCTCATCAGCCCGCAGCCATGGCTGCACGATCCATTGGTTATTGAGCTGCCATGGAGAGATGAGCAGGAACAACAGTTATATGACATAACCGGCAAGATTGGAAGTTCCAAGAGACTATCTTTCGGCTTGTTGAGGAAGGATGACCTAGTTCTTCCTAATCCACCCGTCCATAGGGCGATTGACACGGTGGCTAAAGCTCTGGAAAAAGCCGGTCACGAGGTGAGAGAAGAGTGATAATCGAAATTATAGTTCTGTGCGGCTGACAATATATAAAAACCAGGCCATCGAGTGGAACCCTCCATCTCACAGTCGCGGTTGGGACACTGCAGTAAGAACTCTTATCGAAATTGGCTAGAATGGTTTAACAATATATAGGCTCAAACATGGATGTTTGATGGTGGAGAAGACATGCACAGAGCATTTGCTTTTTCCGGAGAAATGGTGATTACTCAAATTTCGAAAGTTTACAGCCAGAACCTGTCGAACAAAGGAAAGCGAGCGACGTTGCGGCGACCAACATAGCGAAACGCGAATATCAGAAACAATATTTAGAATACTGGAGCAGCACTGCCAGTCAGACACAAAACGGACCTCCAGTTGAAGCTTTTATTGCGCCGTTAGCTCCATATCCCGGAGCAAGACGCGATGAGTATCATGACTATACATATTCGATGATAGTAAATTGCTTGGATTATTCCTCAGTCGCGATCCCCGTCACACAGGTGAACAAGGCCGTCGATGTTGTTGACCGATAGTATACACCAGCAAATGCCCAAGATCAACAGGTGTTTGAAACATGTAAGACTCCCCCAGTGCATCCACCACGAATATCTAATTAACTAGAGGCGCAGATGATCCAGAGATTTGCGACGGAGCCTTTGTTGGAGTTCAGATTGTCAGAAGAAGACTTCAAGAAGAGAAAGCTCTTGCATTGGCGGAACTGATTTCGTCTCTATTGTAGAATCACCTGATAAGGGCATCAGTGGTTGATGGTTTCAGACTTTTCCTTTATCGAGTTTGTACTTTTTGCTAAACCAGCTAACTACATTCGTTTCCTGGCAGTTTTGTGTTGAACTAGGAACGGCCCCACATGAAATGGTAGTCTACTTGTAGTTGATTACGTAAAGTGATTGCATTGATTGCAACTGGTCCAAAATTTGTGTCTCCGTTGTCTCGTTCTGATCGAGACTTTTCCTGTTTATATACAATTCAGGTTGGATCAACAAAGTCTCTCCTAAACAGATCTAACCGTTTACAGGTTTTGTAAGGCTAGGTCTACAGCTTCACTCTTCTAGAGTGAGGCTGACTAGTGGCTTGGTCGGCTGTCAACAGAAAACATCTCCCATACTGTCTCTCTCGATAGTTGCAGTGCAAATTGGAGTCATGGTCTCGAGCAATTCTTCTGATAGCGAATATGACTCCGGTAGCGACCCTCGTAGCGAGTACAACAAGACCAACAGTAGGGCAAAAGCTCTGCCGAATCTATGGCCGAGAGTGGATCGCGTGAACCAGATGGAGTTTGACTATATTTACCGACACGGGGAAAGATGATTGGGGTATGGCGTTATAGTAATAACTTCTCCGCCTTGTCTACATTCGATAGAGGCGACGCGGCATATCAGACATGGGGATAATATCCGAGCCGGCGGGCCGAATAGATTCGAAGTCGCGCCCTATTATCCTCAGTCAAGGTTGTCGGGCAATAACGTGGTCTGAGGATCCTGATTCTGAACGCTGGGGAATATTTCTTGAGGCCCGTGACCAGGAATCAGCCATGGGTCATAACCTACCTGTCAATCTGCTGTCTGAGCATAAAGCATAATGCCGTAGAATCATCCCGGGCCGTCAGGTCGCCCGAGGCTCTTGACAGAGAAAAGTCTCCGCAAACCTTGCACTAAGTTTCGCCCGCACTTCTGTAATTATATGGTGCTCACTCTGAATACCGTCGACAATATGTGTGGTCGTTCAATCCGTTAATATTTGAGCCCCTGCTAGCTTGAGAGACTTTGTTTGAAGTCAACCTTACATCTCCTGGAGAGCGCTCCCTATGTCTCAATATCCAGACTTCGAGTCGTTGCCGACGGTCGACGGGCAGCCTCAAGGCAACACGTGGGGGCTGTGGGGAAAAGACGACGAGTTGGGCAGTACGAGCTTTGTCTCCCTATCAGAGAGGATACAAGTGCCACACTGATGTACCCAGCGCTGAACTATCTGACACACGACGTAATTCGCAACGCTGCCCGTGAAATCAAAGCTGGGATATCGATCCAGTTAGATTTTCGCCTGGACTATCTCAATCACCGGCCTGCCAGACGTGAAGGGTTTGAGCATCGAATCAAGGACTTCAAGGCGGAGAACAAAGGCACAGGCTTGGCCATTTGTGCTCACGATGATGTGTTGACTTTCAATACACAAGGTAGCTCCCAATGGGACGGCTTGCGACATGTCGGACTTCAGCATTCCGGCACCTACTATAATGGCGTGAAGCACCAGGACATTACCGGGATGAAACACGATGGCAGGCTTGGAATTCACCGTAAGGCTGTGAAAACTCTCCGGGCTAACTGTTCCACTAACTCGATACAGGATGGGTAGAAAGAGGTGGCATCGTTGGCCGTGGTGTTCTCCTGGACTACCATGGCTGGAGACAGCAAACGGGCCAACCCACAGTCGCTGCAAATTCGGCCTTTGCAATCACCACGGAAGAACTTGATGCAGTGGCGAAGCACCAGGGCACAGAGTTTCATGCAGGAGATATCCTGATTATCCGCTCAGGGTTTTCGGTATGGTACCAGCAAGCTAGTAAAGAAGAGCAGATCGAGTCCATAGACAGAGGCGCTTTTATAGGCTTGGAGTCGTCTATGGAAGTAGCTAAATGGTTGTGGAATCACCATTTTGCTGCCGTGGCAGGTGATACCGTGGGGTTTGAATGCCACCCTGTCAACTTTGGTGACAAAGACGCAGTCATACTACATGAATGGCTGCTTGCTCATTGGGGAACGCCAATTGGTGAATTATGGGATCTTGAAAAGCTGGCAAAGGTTTGTCGAGAGAAGACGCAGTGGTCGTTTTTTCTCACCAGCGCGCCTCTTCATGTATTCGGTGGTGTTGGCACTACTCCAAATGTGATAGCAATTTTGTAGACCTTCTCGTTCTATCCAACTTTGGTCGAGAGTATATCCGTCTCTGGTTATTTTGTTCGACACTATGTAAGTGATAGGCGTCAGGCGCACATAGGGAGCTGTTGTACGAAGGGTTGAGTTGCGGACCTGTCTGGTTGATTGTGTCCTGTCCCCCTGGCTATTCAGAGAGACTCTGCTGTTTATATATACATTGGCCTGTAACCACAAGAGCATTCCTGAAACCTCCTATTCCGTCGCCATCCTGTCACAGAACTGCAGGAACAACGAGGTTGAGGCAGTTTGCGCAGTTGGTGAAGCATCTAGCTTCTCAAGTGGTTTACCCCAATGGTGTTCTCGCGACCCTGTCAACAGGAGCAGCTACATTGAGAAGTCGTAGTTGCATGACAAGTTTGATTACACGTGATCCACTTGTGGAGATATCTCTCAACTCCAACTATCTCCGAGCTTTTGTGGTGTGGATGGAGGAGAGAGACTTGGATGGATCATCCTACCAATCGTCTCGATAGTATAAAAGTATATTTGAGGTTGAGGATGGTTGCGGGCTTGCAAAAGAGATTTCCTCTGAGTCCGAAAGAAGAGAAGAGTTGGTTTCTTCGATAGACGTAGGGCCTGACATCGGTTGGGTTGGGTCAACCCACCGGCCATTACAACTCAACCCACCCCTCTGGAGTACCCAGACATATTGGGTCGGGGTTGACCCAACCCATGTCAGACCCTAAGTGAACGGCTTGATCGAGGGTCGCCTAGAGATGTAGCAACTTCACGTGTGGGTATATATATCTCGGTCAAGTCGCCCTATGTTCTAACTTCGAACGTAATTCTCAAACCGCCCGTGTTTATGACTTCGTTTGCAGAATCAAATTTTGCCGCAAGGCTCGTACACAAGCCCGGCACTGCCACCATCTATGGCTTCGCGGCATAGTTTTTCATACTCCATAATCCCTCCCAGATATGTCAGCGGCTGTACCTTGGCTCCTGGAACATTGGCTCTGGTCCACCACGATGGAGTGTATTGAACTAGCGACTGTTTGAACTGAGCTTCTAGCAGCCGCGCCCATTCTTCTTCGGCTGCTTTTGTGGTTTCAACCCACTTTGCGCCTTTTTCTTCTGCCTTCGCGATTAGAGCGGTGACCAAATCGCTTTGACACTCCACTGTCGTCGGGCCATTGTACAGCGTAGTAGGTGCTAGAAACATAGAAATCAGTAATTCTCCATGTTGGTGGACAACGGATGCTCCCTTGGAACGTACACTGGGGCCCAAAGACCATGAATAAATTCGGAAAGTCGCGGATAAGGAGCCCAAGATTAGTGTGAATCTCCTCAGCCCAAGTCTCTTGCAGGCCAATCCCTTGCCGGCCCTTGAGGCCGAGATCATAATAGCTGTTCTTACTGATTAGCAACCCAGAAATTCCGTGAAACGGAGGCGTTGGACTCACGATCCAGTGAAACTCTCAAATCCGGTGGCGAGTACCAGTGCATCGAAGTTGTGAGAGCTTCCGTCTTCCATTATGACACCGCTTGAGCAGAATCTCTGAAAGGGTGTGCTTCTTAAGCTAACCACTTTGACGTGGTCCTGGTCCAACATCTCGTAATAGTCTTGCTCAAGAGGACTGCGTTTCGTTCCAAAGTAATATAATGGTTCCGTCGGTGCTAGGATTTCTTGCTTGACCGGATCGGAGATCTTCGCGCGAACTTTCTTCTTCCAGAAGTCGTAGACAATCCTATTCGCTACAGGGTCGGTCCTGGCATCAGAGAATGCGACAAGAAAGGCAAATCCTCCACGATTCCAGGCCTCTTCAAAAATGGCTTCTCGCTGTTCTGCTGTCAAGTCAACGGCTTTCGGACCTGGCCGGATGGGGAACCCGGACCACGACAGACGACAGTCACGAAAGAGTTTTTCGTAGGAGGCCTTCTGACGAACTTGATCTTCCTTTGTCACATCCTTCTGACACATTGGAAGACAAGTGCTTGGCCGGCGGATAAAGACTGTTAGTTCGGTCGCCTGTTTCGCCAGTTCTTGGACAACCTGAATGCCCGTCGCGCCCGCACCAATAACGGCGACTTTCTTCCCTTTCAGATTCGCATCTGCAGGCCAGGTTCGAGAATGATAGGTTTCGCCCTTGAAGTCGGCGAGACCTGGAAAATCCGGGGTGTATTGCTTGTCCAACGAACCGCTTGCCACAACGAGGTATTTAGATTTTGTGACCAGTCCAACGTCGGTGTGTACTATCCAGTGACCCGTGTCTTCGTCCCAGGATGATTTAACAACTCGAGTGTTAAAGTATGTGTCATTCCGTAAGCCGCAGATCTTGTCAACGTGCGCAAAGTACCGACGTAGTTCCGCCTGATCTGGGAATCTTTGAGTGAATTCCCAAGTCTTCCAGACTTCGGGGATGGCCAGCTGGTAGAAAGGGATCTCTGAGTCGACTCGAGCACCTGGATACCTGTTCCAATACCATGTTCCGCCAAAGTCAGAGCCGGCCTCGATGATCTTCGCCTTGAAACCTTGTTTGCGTAATTTGTAAAGCGAGGCGATGCCGCTGAGTCCTGCGCCCACTATCAAGACGTCGCACTCAATGACTTCTTGCACTGAACCCATCCTTGCGATATTTGAGGTACCGAAGTTTGCCGTATTATCTCACAAGCACCAAGTTGTCACAGTATCAAGTCAGAGTCGTTTTCTGGTGATGGAAAGGTGATGACCGAAGAGGAGAGCGTCGGCGGCACTACTCTTTATGCCTTGACCGGCACCCGGAAGGTCGGGGAGGAATTCCATTGTCGGAGCACCAAGTTTGGCATGTGGCATGTGGCATGTGGCATTCGCGAAACAAAGGTCCTGCCGATGCCGCCGGTCCCCCGTCTGAGTACTATGTTGTCAGTCACGTTGGCGTGGACACGGATTGTCCCGTGGGGCTCAAAGCTGTCCCGGACGTTGGCAATCGCTTTCTAGGCGCGACCGAGTCGGGTGCCAATCTGCTGCCGATGGCCTTACCTGTTGGTCGATCCCGGCAGTTGTTGATACGGAAACATCCAAGTTCACATTGATTGACACTCCGGGAAGGCTGTAAGCGATGAGCGGATACCCCATTCTAGTCCTTCAGCGTTTTGATTGAGTATCCTTTCTACATCATTCGTGTACACCCTTGTGTGTTCAATAACGTTAAGTGACAATAGGGTGACAATTTTCATACTGTGTATATTCGGGCCGCCGGTTCGCTAGAAAGCTATATTTCCCCTTCCCCTTACGGCAATAGCGCCGCGGTACCTCTGTCGAATCTTGACAAGGTGGGGAACTTAGTAACTACTATAACGCCATGCCGGAACCTCAGTCGGCCCGTAGGGCATGGCGTATGAGCCGGTTTCGCCTCATTCTGCGATGTCCCCCGCCGCGCCGGCAAGGCATGGGCAGCCTCAGTCACCAGCTAAAATCTAGAGTTAGATGGTCCTGAAATAATGATATATACTAAGACGGTCATATATAATTGAGAAGAGAGGGCTTTGACACCATTATCCACGGAACACGGCATAGAAACTTGTCAAAGTCATAACTCCCACGACATCACCATGACCGCTACTGTGCTGGACCCGAAGCTTGTAGAGGCATACCGGGACGCAAAGATTCCCAAGGTGGTGAATCCAATCAAACTCGCTTTTGATCCCGAAGCATTGAAACGACGATACATTAGAGAACGCGACAAGCGCGCGGCAGATGTCAAGGCCCACGGAGGCATCAACCAGTTTCAGCTTATCGAGACTGACGGCCCCTTCGCCGACTACCTCCGAGACTCTTGGGTTGAGCCGGGGTTTAAGAGAGACCCCGTGGACGAACAAGTCGACGTCTTCATTCTTGGCGGCGGCTACAGCGCTCAGATTATCGCGGCGCGGCTCCTTGAAAAAGGGATCACGAATCTGAGGATAGTGGAGAAGGCAGGCGACTTTGGAGGCACATGGTCTGGTGATTTTTTCCTGCAACCTAGACGGTGCTGACTATATTTCAAGGTACTGGAACCGCTTCCCTGGCGCACAATGTGATGTCGAATCGTACATCTATATGCCGCTGCTTGAAGAAACCGGCTTTATACCGACCGAGAAATACGCCCGAGCCAAAGAGCTTCTCGCCCACTCCGAAAGGATCGGCCGTCACTATGGTCTCTATGAAAAAGCCCTGTTCCAGACCGAAGCGCTTAGTATGCACTGGGACGACGACACGTCGCTGTGGACGATCCAAACCAGTTGCGATGATAAAATCCGAGCTAAATTTGTCATTCCTTGCTCTGGACCTCTACATCGTCCTAAGCTCCCGGGAATTCCGGGCATGGAACGCTTCAAGGGAAAAGCCTTCCACTCGTCACGCTGGGATTACGACTATACCGGTGGCGATTCTGACGGCAATTTAAATAGACTCGCCGATAAGCGTGTAGGTATTATCGGCACCGGCGCGACGGCCGTCCAGATTGTGCCTCACTTAGGTCAATGGGCGAAAGAAGTCTTTGTTTTCCAGCGCACGCCGTCGTCGATCGGTGTGCGTGGTAATAAAAAGACCGATCCGGCTTGGGTAGCGTCCTTAACACCAGGCTGGCAGCAACGACGTAATATCAACTTCAATAATCTCTGCAATGGTATAAGGGAGCCTGAGGACATGGTACAGGATGGGTGGACTAACATCTTGCCGGACGTCTTCGGCCAGCCGGACCCTAATATGACTCCCGAGGAGGCTGCCGCGTTTCGACAACTTGTCGACTATGAAAAGATGGAAGCCGTCCGCGCACGCTGTGATAAGCTTGTCAAGGATCCCGCCACCGCCGAGGCCTTGAAGCCGTGGTACAATATCATGTGTAAACGGCCCTGCTTCCACGATGAATACCTTCAGACGTTCAACCGGCCCAACGTGCACCTGATCGACACCGCCGGCAAGAGTCTTGAAGGTGTCGACGAGACAGGTGTGTTGGCCAACGGTCAACACTACGAGGTCGACGTCATCATCTATGCGACGGGCTTCGAGAAGGCCACGTCCTTTTCGCACCGCGCCAACATGGAACTTTACGGGCGCGGCGGCCTGACGCTCACCGATGCTTGGGGTAACGGACCACGCACCCTGCACGGCTACACGACGCGAAACTTCCCTAACTGCTTTTTTATCCATAACATCCAGTCTACTCTGACCCCAAACTTCCTCTTTACGGCGAGCGAGACCTCCTGGCAGCTGGTGTACCTGATCACGGAATGCCTGAAGCGCGGAATCAAGAGCGTTGAGCCCACCGCGCAGGCAGAGGAGGACTGGGTGAACACCATCCTGAAACTCGGTGAGCGGTCCGCCAAATTCTACGCCGAGTGTACGCCTGGGTATTACAACAACGAAGGCACGCACGATTCCTCGGCGGCCAAGAACGCGGGCTATGGCGGAGGAGCGCCGGAATTCATGCAGTTAATGCGCGACTGGAGGGCGAAGGGCGACATGGCGGGACTGGATGTAAGAGTGTGATGCTAACATCGATGCTTCCGAGACCGGACCCCGCGACTGCGTCGATACTAGCTTGCTAGACATTGGTACTGGCCCAAGGCCACTGATGATGACAGCAGTCTCGAAGACTAACATGGTATAATATGTGAATAGAATTGATGTAGAGAATGTTGAGCTGCAGCATCAACACAGGGGAATTGTCCACAAGATTGGCAACTCGACAAGGCTTGACTCAGTTTCGCTTCCTCCAGTTTCGATCACTACACCCCACCAGGACGTTAAGGTTCTGAAATTGTGACCCTTTTCACTGTTCGTCACTTTGCACAAACATGATATCGACGCTATGCCGGCCTCTCTGCCGGATTCTTCCTGGAAATATCAGGAGCTCATACCTTGCTTGCCCACTGCTCGAATCTATCTACGTCTATCGATGCGACTCAATCAATCGGCGCCGGGTATGAAACAGAAGCAGACGAGCCGTAGGAGTTCACAGTAGATCATCTGCTGCAACAATTCAGTTGTTTCCAGCAGCGCCTTCGAACTCGGTTCCACGCATCACGCCGGCCCGAGGCGTTCCAATGCATTCAAGTGGCGCTCCTCCTCAATCGAAATTCGACAATTTATCTCCCAACGAAAGCAAGAGGTCCTGCCACTCCTTTAAGCGTTCGCCTTCCTTGAAGTCATCCCTGTCAATGTCCAGGTAGCCCCGCGGTGACCATTTGCGCGGCACGATAGCGAAAGTGCGGCCTAGGTCCATTGTGGTCAGCTCCGGCATGATTCCTGTGGGAAATCAGCATGGAGAGTACAGACTGTTGATTCCCGTGTCCGAAATGATGTTGACCAGTGCTCCGGCAGCGTCCTGAATGGAGGCCCAGACGATACCTTTGGAGGCGATCAGGTCCGTGAACTGTTCCGGGATCATGCCGGTATAGATGAACCTATTCCTTAGTAAGCCCCAAATTCTGTTGCAGATCAAAGCTGGATTCCTGTGCCCGGAAGACCCTGGAAGGATTAACAATGCAAAGATAGGGAAGCTCACCACGGCGCAATCAGATTCACTCGGGTTTTATGCTGCGGACCGGTGTACCGAAGGGACGTCATGGCCCCTCGCAATCCGAATTTCGAGGCTGCATACAGAACAGATCCCGGCATGTCGAGGTATCCCGCCATCGACCCTTGGATAACCAGGGACGTATCGTTCCGTGGTTTGCCAGCATCGATGTCGCGCTGATTTTGTTTGCGGAAATGGTACAGGGCCAGCTTGATGGTGTATAAACCGCCAGTGAGGTTGACATCGATGATCTTGAAATTGGGTTTCTCAGGTTTATCCTTAGCAGCTTACGAAGTTTGACTGTCAGCTTTCGAATGCCACCATGGTGTCCTGGTCAGAAGAACACCTCCAAGTCGAACTTACAATCATCTGCAAACACTCCATCGGTTCCAGCAACTCCGGCATTGGCCACCACCACATCGACGCGACCGGAGGGGGATTTGCTGATAGCTTCCTCGAACAGTTTCACTTGGTCGTCCCAGTTGGTCACGTCGCAACGGCAGACCCATACATGACTGGATTGGGCTCGTTGGCAACTTTATCTCCTGTCCTTCGAGGGCGGAGGCCTAAAATTCTAGGAAGGGAACGTACCCTTCTGGCAGTGAAGATGCGAGGGCCTCGCCATTCTTCGTGTCAAGATCACCAATCATCACATACGCCCTAGATATTAAGGAGGTCGGCACAGCGCTTTCCCAGAGGCCATCAAGTTGTGCCAAGGCTCTCAGCAATGCGACATACCCTGCTTGTACCAGGTTCTTGGTATAGACTGCCCCGATGCCATTTGCACCTGATAGCCATGGTCAGCTGTAGTGCTGGATACCTCTTGAAGCAATGCTGCCTTTAAACAACGACTAGGACGCATGGCTGCGTTGGCGGGGGAAATCAAGCAACATACCACCAGTGATGATCACTGTCTTCCCCTTGACAATGCCGACGTTGGGCTCCCGGGTACAGTTGACCGGTCCACTGTAGGTGTAGTTGGCTGCCATATCTGGGTCTGGTCACCCAGAGATCTTGCCAAATCTTGAAGCACGCTCGTTTCCCCAGCGATACCTTCGTCGGCCTAAGATGAAACTGACCTTAAAGAAGGTCATACTAGGATGGTACCTGTCGAGTTTCATATATATATCACTTCATTACCCAGTCTAGCAGCCCACATCTGACTTGTACTATTCATTCTGGGTGAAGAGTTAGTTCCGCCCCACAACTATGGGTTGCCAGGGGCCGAACCCGGACCGCTGACCAATCGTTGCCCGCGAAACTCCGTCGCTGGATGTCTCTACCTCCGTCTCGCACGCAGTATATCCTACGGATTCACCGGGCCCGAGCTACCGTAGGTGGATTGCGGGAGCAGGAAATGCTACAAAGGTTACTAATACAAGAGAAGCAGGTTGTCATCTCTGCCGTTTGTATTTCCGTAAATGGCATTATAACGGATCTCGAAGATGGGAAACCCTGCGCATCTAACACATTGCGCCTCCATCGACTGTGTATATAGATCCCGTGGTCCAGCTCGAGTCGTCACTCAACAGGAAGACAAATGTCTTCGCTAGCTCTTCCGGAGTCCCCAATCTGCTAATGGCTAGGTACTCGTGTGTGTCAGCTACCGGCTTACCCTTTCCTCCGCTTTCGTCGAGAACCTTGTCCAACAGGGGCGTCTGGACGGGACCTCTAGTAGTGCAGCGATTGGTTAGCGAGGCTCCTCTCGTGTTGATCAAATAAACCACGGTTCCTGCTGGCACTTACGGTGCTACCGCATTCACTCGAATGCCTCGACCGCCCATCTCTTTTGCAGCACTCCTGGTCAATCCTATCACGCCATGCTTGCTGACAGAGTATATCGACACTCCCGCGCGGCCAGCCAGGCCAGCGATGCTGGCGGCATTGACGATCGCAGCACCTTCCTTCATGACGCGGAGTTCAGCTCGCATACAGTAAAAGACGCCTGCCAGGTTGATTCCAATGATCTTGTCCCACGATGCGTTCTCCGTTTCGGTGATGTTGCGGAAAATCTTGTCGTCGCCTCCGATGCCCGCCATGTTGGCCGCCCCGTCGAGTTTGCCATAATGGTCCACCGTGGCCTTAATCCATGCGTCCACGCTGTTCGAGTTCGCCACATCGACAACCGTGGTGGTGACTTTTGTTCCCTGCGACTTGAGCTCTTCGGCCACCTGTTGAAGAGCCTTTTCCTGCAAATCCGCGAGCGCTAGAGAGGCACCACGCCGAGCGCATTCCCGGGCCACGGCACGTCCAATTCCACTGGCCCCACCAGTGACGGCGATGACCTTGTTCTCGAAGGATGCCATGATTACCTATTTAGAAGGCGTAATAAAGATCTGTGCAGCAAAAGTAGGCCTAACACAACGCAGACCAGAAGACGGGTTTATAGAGTGTAAAACAGGTCAAAGCTGCCTTCAGCCGTTGACGCGGGGCTACGAGCATTCATATTTTTTATCTCATCTGGGCTGGAGAGAGCCTTGGGCAGGGCCTGAGGCAAGGTCGGTCCGACCGGCACTTGGCACACTGTTCTATTCCGTAGCCATCTGTAAGACATCTCATAGGCTAATCGGGGACAACTCGCATAGTAAACGGTGGCAAAACAATCCTCTAGGAGCTCTGTAGCCGCTAAAGCCGCGTGGAGCGCCGAAGCAGGTTTCGAAAATGTGCCATTCATCCCGGATGCTTGCATCCTGCCCTGTCTGTCGTCTCTAGCAGATGCCCGGAGGATGCCTCTGTAGAGTACTCAGCTGTTCATTCTACCTAGTGATTCCCGGAAAAACTTGAACCGCTAAATTCAGAACGGAGATTCAGTATCGCGGCGCGGAATCTGGGCCCACCTATTGACTGCGGGTGGTAGCGCTCGATGAAGCCATACTGGGGCGCCAGGAACACCTCTTATTTAGCGTGTTTACGCCTGTTGTGTCCGGCCGCCGTGGTGGCTGTGGGAATAAAGGTAATTGACTAAGCGCGATAGATGGGTCTCTTTGGCGAGATAATGACTGTTGACATGCTTGTGAGGCACACGGCGCCTGCGGCGCGATCAACCCTCTCCGCACCTCCAGGATCGCGCCTACGGGTTGACACACCTATGTGTTCTGCGTGACATTGCCACAATGGTAGAAATCGTGCCGCTGCCTGTCAATTAGCCAGTGTGTATCGGAAGCTTCCACCTGTAACACCTGTTGGTGTTCCATTCGCTTGCGAAGGGTGTGTGGACAAGGTAAACCTTATACTCTTGTAAAGCAGCCTGTAATATGTTTAAAGCCTAGAACGACAATCTGCAACATCCTAGGCGTCATGTTGGCCCCTAAAAGTGGTTAAGTAGGTCTTGTTACAGGCATTTACCACCCTTTGACGCACATAGTGAGATATGGCCCACCACGAATGCCCACAGAAACCCATTAAACTGTGGTGACTGCGTAATTGCAGAATGCTTCCAGTTGTCTCGGGTCTCGATATTCCTGTCTTTCTGGAGGGGGCGGAATGCATTGATGAGGGTGGGAATATCGCTGTTGAGTGCATGGAGAGCGCACTTCAATACCCTATGCAGTCACTCTAGTCGAGAAGAACTCACACTACCAAAATGCTAAAAAGCGTCAGTCTAGCGCGACCAAAGCGATGCCTTTTCCATACCAGATAAAGTTGTGATACCTCAGTAGTTCACACAGAGAGCATGAGGCTGCCGCTCCGCTTGTGTAGAACCCGCGTCTTCAATCACTCAGTACCATCAGTCGTCTAAAGTCCTTTACCTTAGCATTCATAGTAGCAATTTGCGCGTAGAATACCGCGGCATTCGACACTTCTGCCTCGCGACGAGTTCCGGGTCGCCATGTTCGCTTTCAATGAGTCTCAATTACTCGGTCCATGCGCCAGAGAGAGAGAAGATTGGGCACTTATAGTGTAACAAGGCAAAGTGCCTGTGCTGTGCTGTGTAGGGCTGGTAGAGTGGTAGCAAAGGGGGGAGCAGTTGTCTAGTCACATGTCAAACCAAAATGGGCTAGCAGAAGGGGAGTGCGGAACAGTTTACAGAGCTGGCAAAGTGCCATTCTTTACAGTTTGAGGAGAGTATCATGAATTCAATGGCCTTTTGGTGCCGTCTACCTAATTCCTGAGTGTTTTATCAATCCTGTCCTGTTTCTCGATGCTGCCGCTGTGCTAGGTGTTCGTACCCCTAGCTGCTGTCCCTCTGGGTGGTGTTGGTGGTGTTGTTTTGTCAGTGCCAACCAGAAACGCGTTCTCGATTCCCGACCTGCTGGACGGGCCTCTGTGCGTTGTTGCACGTGCACGCCGAACGCTGAAGTGCTCTGTTACAGTAGAAGGACTCGAGATATCGCCACTTGGAGGGACGTCTGAAGAATCTGTGATTAGGTCTTGTGGATGGTGAATACTCTCGGCTTCGCAGACTCTGTTGACACAGGTTAGCACCCCAAAAAAACTTACCCCTCGTCTTGTCCGCGATCAACGCCGCGCCGGTAAAGCGTAGTTGTCATCCATCAAATAGACACCGGGATTGAGACTCCCCAGCTCGACGAAGTGGAGAAAACCCAGCTGAGGCATGCCAACGAGTACTCTAGTGCCTGAAGAAGTGTGAAACGAAGGAGTCTCCACGTGATCGAATGGGTGCATGAAGTTGCTTGTTCTCTATCTATCCTTTCAGTGGTTCCTTTCCTGTTAACATAAACATTTCGCCTGTGCGAAGAAAGCAGTTCCTGAACATGGTGAGCAACGTTCCAGATGCCTCATCGGTGATTCTGTGAACGCTCCAGCTGAATGCTTCGGCTGGACAGGGTTCCGTGCCTAGCCACCATCGTAACCACAGTGGCTAGAGCCTCGGCCTTCTCGGCTAGCGCTGGCCTCTCGGCTGTCTCAGAAGAAGATTCCTACAGTTGGATTGCGCCAGGTGCCACTTTCTGCAGTCGTTGAGAGCGTCCCCGGCCAATCGGGCTTATATCAGAGCACGTGATCATATTTCAATCAACCGGATGCGTACCGGGTAGAGTAGACTCATTGCCAAAAAAGGTAAGTCCCGTATTAGCGATATATAGCGTCTTAGCATATCCACAAAATGCATCGCCAAGCAAGCCTCGAGCCCAAAGAGACGAGAAAGCGTTCCATCTTCCGCGGGGTAATAGTGGAGCCCGGCAATAACTATTTCTGGTTAGATTTGGAAATCCCAGACCTGCCTCTGCACAAGACGATTCTCTTCCATGACCGGCACGACGGACCGCCATCGCCGCCTTTTCTGCGGCCCTCAATCGGCCCGAGGGGTCGGACTATACAAAAAGTTGCTCCCTCTGGGATGTCAGCTTCTCGGACTCTACAAAGAGCACTCGCCGGGACTCGTCGCCTTTAATCAGTATATTCATCTAGCGACGTAGCCACTACCCAGGACTGAGGCTGCCAATGTGCGCCGAATAGCGGGATGGACTTGAAGGTTCTAGGCCATCCAATAGGTATACCTAGGTATAACCTTGGAGGCCTTTCTACGCGGTGTTGAGATAATAAGCGTAAGACTGTAACGTGTTGGAAGTTTGGCTGAAGCTCCGTGGCCCGAAAACCCATTACGGTCCGAAGCCACTCATACCGTCCCGCAGGGAGAAATTGCACACAGCAACAAAAGTTAACTACATAAATCATCTGGGATGAGATCTTCACGGGGGGAATGGTGGTAAGATAGCCAGACTCGTGATGCCTATTGCGCGTGCAAACAAACCCCAGTCCCTTCGGCTTTAAGCAAGATCCGAGTGATATCCTCAACGAACAATTTATGGGCTACCGAGGTTAGGCTGTGCGTAACCATAAATGAGGCATTGAACGGTCGCAAAGGCGAATTGTCTCAAGGACGTGGAGATCTTTACCTTGTAGGCCACGTCAGTCGTCCCAACAGCAAATGCTGTCATGGGTGTTGTGTGTGGGCAGCCCAACGTGACAAGGCGCAAAGGGTCGCATGAGCCATCTTGATGGCGCACATCATATTTTTTTCCATTGCGCGCCAAAATCTAAGTAGACTTGGCTTCACTTAATGAAGCTCTTTCTCGCCGTCCGTGGAGGAGACCCGTGGCAGAGGAACTGTGTGCCCATTGACAGGGATACTATGCTCACCCCCGGAACTCGACGCCTAGACTATTTTTGGTTGGCCCGATCTAAAGACTAGAAGCGGGGGACACCCACGTCTTTCAGGGTCGCTTGCACCTGTACTCCGGACTCGTATGTGAGTGGACCTGGGGAATGAGCAAGAAGAGGGAAGATCAAGAGGAAGCTCAGGGCCCTGGGCTTCCCAGATAGGATCCTGCCTTTAACTAAAATAGAGCGAGTCAGTCCCCATGAATCCCCAAAACGAGGGGAAAGAGTCCTTGTGCGGAGGAAGTTCGGACGACACCCGGGGCCCCAGCATCGTCTGGGCTGTCACTTAAAGACCTTGCCAGCCGCAGAATCTAGTAGCGTCTCCCCCACATCACCGTCTACCCGGGCAAGCATCGGCACAGAGCCACCATTTTGCGGGATCCTGTTTTCTCATCCTTCGCCGTCGCTGCTCCTTTTGGACACCACTTCATTGCGATTCAATAAGCCCATCAGTGAGAGCTCAACAAATACCGGAGTAATAATTTTTATTTCGTGAGGCCCATGCCCAGCATGCAAGCCCTGTACTTCGATACTTCGCCTCAGCTCCAGTCTTCCAGCCGCCCTGCGTTTCAGCGAGCTCGGGCTGCATGTCAAGCATGTCGCACAAAGAAGGTACGCTGCAATGCGAGTGACGGGGTGCGATGCTCAAATTGTATGTTTGATGACATTCCATGCGTATTGGTCCCCAAAAAGCCCCGAAGGCAGGTCATCTGCACCCATTCTTCCTTGATTGAACCACAGCTGAGCGTTAGCAAGTAGGAAGACAAAGACCTCCAGACGTATCCTTTCGGCTGTGCCGTCTGCACCCAAAGAGCCACCTGTCGCGATCGATGGCGACGGGCAGCTGGCTGCACCCCGGCACGACGAGATCCAAAGGACAGGTAGCTATGAGCCTCGAGAGCTTGTTGATGACGAGCGCTCGCGACTGGGCTCCGGTATGGAGCATTGAGACCTTCTTATGCTGCATGAATTAACGAGATTCTACCTATAGAACCTTTGGAATTGCCTTGGGCAATAGGCGGTCCCCAGCACAGGCAGATATATTCCCACACAGTCCGCAGCCTTTCGCCTTTACACTCCCTGTCAGACCGCAGAGCACCAATAATAGATCTTCCCAGCTACATTAAACCACAGCCACCGAGTCTGGGTGCTGACGACATCGAGTACCTTCAAAAGAAAGGTGCCTTCGTTCTACCGGACCCAGCCCTGAGAGACGAGTGTTTGCGGTGCTACATTCTCTATGTGCACCCATTGTATCCGACTGTGGATTACACTCAGGTCTGGTCAATTGTTCACAAAACTCCCGCCGGCAGAGGCAGGCTAAGCCTATTGCTGTTGCAAGCCCTCATTTTTGCTGGAAGTATGTGGGCCGACGTAAGGCTTGTACGACGCGCTGGCTTCCTCAGTCGAAAGGCTTTCAGGAACAGCCTCAATCAAAGAATTCGAGTCTTGTACGACGCCGACTATGAAGACGACCAATTGACCTTGGTGCAGTCTTTGTTGTTATGGTCCTTCTGGTGGAAAGGGGCGAACGGACACAAGGATGGCTACCATTGGGTTGGTGTGGCTTACTCCATCGCGCGATCCATCGATCTGCATCACCCTACGACGGACAACGGCTCTAATCGAGCTCCGCAGCATCTACGAAGGCAACTCTGGTGGGCAATATGCAATCGGGAGGTCATTGGATCTCATAGCATGGGCCGTGAGCCCAGATTCAAGGATGCCGACCACACCGTCCCTATTCTTGGGTTGGACGATTTCGACTATGGCAAAATGATGTCAGAGGCACCGTCCGACATGCCTCGCGCTACGGAAGCTCAATACCTCGATTTGGCCCGAATCACAGTAGAGTTTGTCAAACTGAATAAGATCTTTAGCAAAATTCTCGGCGTCGTGTGTCACGAAAATTCGGTGAATAGGACGACTATGCTCTACTCGGCTCAACAAATGAAAGGCTCGAACAGCGTGTCCTCAACAAAAGGGCGGTTGAACATCGACGACCTCATTGAATGCGATAGGGAACTCACCCGCTGGCGGCAACAAGTCCCCGAGAACCTTTGGCACACTGGACCACTGCCATTTAGCCCTCCTGAATGGCGGAAGGCCGAGTTGAGCCATCGTGCGATATTGAGCATGATGTACCATATGGCCTTGATGACCGTCCATCGACCACAAGTGCTACCTTTAGAGTCTGCCGCTCCAAGCCCTACAGGGACATCTGAGCGGAACAGAAGACACATATCGCGCGTACGCCAGAGACACTCTGCGCAGGAAATCACGAGCATAGCCATGGATTTCTTCAATGCGGATCTGCTCACCTTTTTGCCGGCTACCGTAGTCAGTTGTCTCATGCCTGTCAGCATCCTCCACACATTAGACATCTTTTCCGATGATGTCAGGATCCGAACCGAAGCCACGCGGCAGCTGGACGAGTGCAGGGCCATGCTTTACACGCTCGCAGAGCGACAATTTGCGCCCGAATGGGTTTTACAGACCGTGGAACATCTCTTGAGCCGAGCTAAGCAATGCGAAGGTTCGAAAGGCGCCTCAAGACTCATGCAGCGGGCTCCCAGCGATGCGGAGAGCCATCCTGCTCGATATGAAGACCGGGACCGGGTGCCCAGCAACGACCGCTCCAATAATGAATTTGAACAGATAGAGCAGCCCACTGCGGCTACTATCGCAAATCCCGATGCAGGCCAGCTAGAGTGGGAGTCTTGTTTAGTCAACCCAGAGGGATGGTCAGATTTTCAAATACCGGCTTTATCAGGACGACCGTTTCCCACAGACATTGGCAGTTCTGAAGCCCTCGAAGAGTCATGGCTAGATTTTGCCCGCGTCTCCGGGGCCATGCCTGGCTCGAATCGGTTAATTGGCCATTTCTAAGTGTTCCATCCTTCTGCTTTGGGGAGAAGGAGGCCGTCTTTTGTGTCAAACATTGCATCACAAGACAATACTATAGAAACCAGTGGATGGTGATCGAGATGAGGGTGGGTAGAGTATCTCATGTCGTATGTATAACTTGGAACTAGGTAGTAATTGGCAAGCATTGCTTGATCAAACTCTTTCCTAGGCTAGTGATCCAGCGCAGATACTACCAAACGTTTTAAGCCCAGAGCTGAAATAAACCAGTTTTGCAATGTGAGTGACTGAGTGAACAACCAAGATGGACGGTTAGCACGCATAAAAGACGTACTCGCACTGCACCCAAAGTCTGTGGGCTTGGACTGGTCACTATACAGACTCAGCCGCCACAGCATGTGCTTGGAGTGGCGTTTGTCGTCTAACTAAGCAACATCAGAGACTTCGATAGTCTGCTCAAACTTATTTGCGTGTTTGTCCTCGCTCATCCTCTGAATAGGATTGTTGAGCTGTTGTTGAATAAAATTTTCCTCGTGGTCCCCAAAGAGCCTGGCAATCTCCTCGAGGGGTAGGCCAAGGGTATTGGGAAAGGTGAACCAGACAAGGACGGCGTACAGCATGGGAGGAATGATGAAGCACAGATAAAATTTCCAACCGATAGCCTCGAAGGCGGTGGGTGCAAGCTGGGTCCAGAGAATGTTGATAGCGGTGAGCGATGTGATGGTAACAACCAGGCCTTTGGCTCTAATATGGGTCGGGAACAGCTCGGCCATGTACGCGAACATTGTGCCGTTGAGGAGCCATTCGACGCAGAAGGCGTAGATGTAGATCATGGCAACTCCGGCGCGCAGGGCGGCCCTGTTCGGGTTGGCAAGAGACTCGGGCGTGGTTGCGAAATTGGCCAGGATGGCAGCCAGGACGATCAAGGCGCTGCAGGCGGCTGTGAGACCTATCGCGATGAGCTTAGGACGCGCGATGCGATCGATGATAAAGACGGCAAGCAGACCGCCGCCCAATTCAATTGTGTTGAAGCCCATCTGGTAGATAAGCTGTTCCTTGACGCCGAAGCCTAAACTGCTATAAATGGTGGGGCCGTAGTTGTTGATGACCAAGAGGCCCGACGATTCGACCATGACGACCACGCTCGAGCTGATGAGAGCTCTCTTTCGATATGCTGGATTCTTGAGCATGGCAAGCCACGAACTGTCGAGTTGCTTGTCCACCTCCATCGCAGCGGATATCTGGAGCATCTCAATGGTAGCCTCCTCGGGGGTGTGAAGTCGTCGGAGCGTCTTCTCTGCCTGTTCACGTTTCCCGTTTAAGAGCAACCACCGCGGAGATTCCGGGAACCAGATCGTGAAGATAAGGTGCAGGGCGAGAGGTCCGCATCCCACAATAAAAGGGCCTCGCCAAGCCATATTGTCGGTATGAGGCAGTTGGTAGAACGCATATCCCATGTAGGACGACAGGGAGTAGCCAAGGAGGATGCCAATGCCGTGGAAGTCGGCGAGGATGCCACGATTCTTTGGGGGAGCTGTCTCGCTGATCCACATAGGGACTGCTGCCACCATCATGAACACACCCGCGCCGGCCACGGTCCTGAAAGCGATAAACATGCCGATATGGACACTGCCGGCCAGGAGGGCGCTGGAGAGGAGGCTGATAATTCCCGAGATACGGATGGCCCACAGGCGACCCCAAGTGTCGGCAAGCCAGGAGATGGTGACGGTGCCAAGAACGCCGCCGAAGAAGAAGAGGCCATTGGTGGTTGCAATAAGCTGAGTACCGTCAGGGCGGGTGTCAAGCTCAAAGTAGGAGATAAAGGACGGCTGGGCCAAGGTTGTGCCGATGATAGCAGCAGCGTAACCGATGCCGAAAGACCCCACGACCATGAGCGCTGTCACAACGAAGTTATATATGTGGAATTGGCGCTGGGCCACATGTTTGGGCTGGGCTTGCTGGCTCAACTCCATGATGAAAATATGAATAGGGATGGACAGACTCTGGTTCTGGAAAGTGCCAATGTGAGTGGGTTGATCTTGTGAGAGTTCTTCCCGGCCGGGATATCTGAGATTTATGGTAATCAATTTGTACTCTATCAGGTATATATCCACATGGAAGTGGAGAAAATTCATCTCAGGGAATGACAGCCAGCCTGGTGGGAAGGTCGAGACCCGGTACGAGATTACCGGCCCACGGGGTAAAGCTGGGAAGTCCACCACTAACGCTTAAGCCGTGCGCTATGGTGGGGAGAGGCAGCACACTGTCGGCCCGATCAAGATGCTGGCTGTATTGAGTTTGTGTATAGCTCCCCCGGTCCCGGTATCCGGTATCCGGATCTGGAGAAGATGAGATCTCGATCTCATTCACTTTCATCCCGGCCTGATTCGGTCTGCCATCTTCAAAGTTATTTGTTGGAAAGCAGCAGGAGAAATACGAGCAGTCATGGTAGAGCACCACAGGCAGATAAGAGTTGAGTCGGACGATGGTCATTCCTCGAAATCTGTTTCATACCTTCAAGTAAATACTAAGGTTAATCGCCATCTTTTTCTCCCAAGAAGAGCAGCTATGGCCACAGAGAGGCCCTCGAAAGAATTCCCCGCCGTCACCCATATGGACGCGGTCCAGATTACGGGCCTTGGAGCGAGCGGGGAGTCATTCGAGGTCATTCACCAGCGCAACATCAAAGTAATCGGCGACACCATCGAGGCCATGGGCATGGGTCGCTACCAATGGCGGGTCTGGCTGACCTGCGGTTTTGGCTTCGCGGTGGAACAAGTGCGTCCATTCCTCCATTCACCCCTTTTCCATCCATGGGTTAACGGGAATGGAAAAACATTAGCTCCTTCTCGTTTTCATCGGGTTGGTCTTGCCGCAGATTGTCCACGAGTTCAAGACCCCCAATGCAAACTACGCTGTCATTGCCTTGTACATCGGCCTGTTGGTCGGAGCGATGGCGTGCGGCTTTCTCGTCGATATCTTCGGGCGCCGCCTCATCTGGATCCTAACGCTAATCGTGACCGGTATTATGACTATGATCTGCGCAGCTGCACCAAATTTCACTGCTCTGTGTGTCTTCATATCCATTCAGGCTCTGGTTGGTGGCGGAAACTGTAGGGTTACGTCCAATCTACCCTTGGAAATACCGGCTGACTAGTACAGCTGCCATTGACCTGACGGTTTTGATTGAAGTTCTACCCAAGAAGAATCGTTATCTCATGCCAATTCTAGCGTGCGGCTGGGGCCTAGGCAGCGCGTTGGGCGGCTTGTTCGGTAACCTCTATCTTGTCCAGTTTATCCCTTGGATTCTGATTCAAACGAAAAAAAACAGCTTGGCCTCTTATCGGGAACTATTCCTGCCCACCAACCTCGACACCAGCCACCTGCTCTCGCTCCGAGAACATGGGATGGAGGTACCAGTATATCCTGATCGGTGGGTTTTGCCTTATTCTCTCAGTGATCCGGTTCTATGTCTCGAGACTCGAAGAATCGCCACGTTGGCTCACTGCAAAGGGCCGTCTGGATGACGTTGTGGCCGTTATCAACGAGCTGGCTCGTGTGAACAAGTCATCCGTCACTATGGACCGCGAGTTATTGCAAGAGGAACCGAAACATGAAGCAACATCGGGCGGAATCGTCAAGAAAGTACTCCCCTCGCAGCATCTTCGAGGAATCTTTGCAAATCCAAAACTAGCTCGCTCTACGGCGAGTATCTGCTTCATGTGGGCAGCAATTGGTATTGCGTAAGTTCTCAAAGTACATTCAGTAGGCTAGGTCGCCGATGAATGAGACTGACGCCTTCCCATCCAGATATCCTATCTATACTCTATTTCTGCCAGTATACCTTACGGCACATGGAGCTAAACTAGGCGATGGAAGCACCAAGACTACTTATCGCGACTACACAATCGCTGCCACCGTGGGGATACTCGGGCCCTTTCTCAGTGGTTATCTCGTTCAAATCCCTCTTCTCGGCCGTCGTCGTTCTATGGCTATTACGGCTTGTTGTGCAGCAACTTTTGCCATTGCGTTCACAACAGTTCGAAACGAAGCACAGAATGTTGCCTTTCCATCTATGATCAACTTCTGGCAAAATGCCTATTACGGGATTTTATACTCGTAAGTCTCTCTTGTCGACACCGCAGTCACGCCGCGGCGTCGAAGTTATTATATTTTCGAGCCTAATCACGTATAAGCAGGTACACCCCTGAAGTCATGCCATTGTCTCATCGAGGAACGGGGTGTGGGTTGGCAATGGCATGCGGTCGTCTGGCTTCCATCTCGTCGCCTCTGATTGCCACGTACGCCGATACCAGCACTTCTGCTCCCATTTGGGTTTGTTGCGCGTTGTATTTTGCTATGGCAGCCGTGGCGCTCACTCTACCCTTTGAACCCGAACACTACGACCGAGAGGAAGCTCAGATGGATCAGGAGATGGTCAATTAAGGGCTTGCTCGAGCTTTGTTGGGAAGAATTGAAGCTAGAGCCTTTTGGATGTCATCAAGAGAGCATCGACTTGTCACAGAGTCTGTCTGAACTTTGAGAGCTTAGAGAGTCAGAGTATCGCATTTCCAGAACCATGAACAACAGGACACAATGTCTCTGGACACCCAGTTCAGCAGTTCATCGCTGTATGAGGCTGCTGAATTACGTCTGCGCCGCCACACTGTGAACTGTTTCCTCTCCGGACATCTTGAATACAATCTTGTGCAACTCGAAGCCGTTGTAAGCCTGAGGCGCATCCTCCAGAGTCATGGTCCTGCCACACAAGAACGCGGCCCTCTTCTGTTACTTGACCAGGACTGCCAACGCGTCCTCGAAGATGCTTCGGACTGGGCATCTCCCCCATGCCATGGTCACATTCTTGCCATAGACAAGCGGACCGTTGAGGGGAGCATCTCCGTCTGCAGGTAAATCCCCCGTTACGGTTAGACCATATATTCTCGAATTATTTATTAAGATTTAACTGGAACGGAGGACTTTAGGGTTCGGCGTGCACGTGCAGCAAAGCACAGAGGCCTATCCAGCAGATCGAGAATCGAGAACGCGTTTCTGGTTGATACTGACAAGACAACACCACCACCACCACCACCCCCAGAGAGGTAGCGGCTAGGGCAGCGAGCGCCTAGCACGGCGACGGCATTGAGAAGTAGGAAAGTGCCGATGAAAGCCTCAGGAATAGGTAGACGACATCAAAAACATGGGATACTCTGTCATACTGTAAAGAATGGCAGCCTCCCAGCACTATAAACTGTTCCGCCCCCAGCTCTCTAATTAGGTTTGACATGTGACCTGACGGACCTCTGCCCTGCCAGTTCACCACCACCCCAGCACTGCACAGCCACCTTGCCTTGTTACAATACTATCAAGGATCTGTTACTGGGGAACCTAACTAAGTTAGGTGATACGGCAGCAGCTCTAACACTCTACCGTCATGGAGTAGTTCAATGAGTATTCGCCTTATGTTCTATATTGGCCTAGTAATCGCGTCGGGTAGGTTTTTTCCTAAGAGCTATCTATTTGACTGTGTTGCTACTAAATTAATAAGGGGCAGTGTTGACGCGTGTAGACGCGCTAAGAGAAATGTCCCCCTTTTTTTGTTGGGACCTTAATATGTATTACCAAGCGTATTTAAAATAAGACTGCATTATAAGGTGCAATGGTTCACCGTAGATACTTTCTCTTGGCAGTACGTCTATGTATAAATCTCTCTGTGCAAGGCCACGTTCTCTACCAATCGAACTGTGCCACCGCCACGATTTCGCGAGATCCTTTCTGCTCTGCGCCCACCCGGCATAAGTCCCTGCTCCGAGATCTTGGTAAATGTCCCTAAGTTTCTGTTTGTTCCACGTGGGTCTGCAAACGCTCTTGCTTTTCCGAATGCACCTCCGGCTGAATATTAGGTTCTGCAGGGTGTTGCAAATTCGTCCTGAATGCTGCCTTTTTGAAGTGACGAGGCGGAACTTTCAATGCGTAGAGTTCGTCCAGCTTTTCGAAAGATATCCCCTGTTGGTGTGAAACTCATCAGCAATGGGGTTCTACCACCGTCATGGCATAAAACGAGGGGGTACTCGACTACCTTTGTCTCTGGGTACAAATACCAGCCTCCGACTGCAGCAATTAATCCTGTGCCAAGGAAGATGAAGCCGACTTTTCCTCCCAAATTTCCTGCGTCTGGGTTGATCTGTGCACGAAGCATCAGGGTATGTCGCAAATGAGCCGCCACACATGTGGGAGTAAAACGACATACCATGTAGGGGACAGTAAACTGCATAATCAATCCCCAAAGGGCGTTTGTAATCGTGATGAATCCCTGAGTTGCAGTTCTTAGTCGCATTGTCGCAATCTCTGAAGCAAGTACGAAGCCGGTGGCGCCAATTGAAAGTTGATAGATTATAGCCCAAAGATAGATGAACGCGACGATCCCCCAGCCTCCTCTGCTTTTGTTAGGCACGCAGCCCATAATACCGATCAGCAAGAGCATAGCGCAAAGGATGAACTGTGGGATAACGATCAAGACACGTCGACCAAAAATCTCCGTCAGCGGAAAGGCAGCAGTGCTCGCCACCAACATAACAACGTACAGTGCCACAGCAGCACTGAAATAGTCTTTGATACCGATGAGCTCCAGGAAGTAGGTCGCATAACCAATGACAAAGGTGGCTCCGATCATTTGTTGTGCACTCGCTGCAAATATGGCTGTCCACGTTCGCTTGCGATTGGTGGCGCGAAAGCACTCGGTCTCGGTTGCCAGATCTATGCCCAAGAATGTGCTTGTATGCTTCGCTTCGAGAGGTCCTCCTTGCACCTCGCGAGAAAATGCGATTTCTTCTTGCATGCGACGGACCTCAATGTCGTAGAACTCTTTCTCTTTGAACCCGTAGACTCGCTGCAGTGCTTTCTTGGCTTTGGCAACTTTGCCGTTTCTGACAAGCCAGTAAGGTGACTCGGGAAAGAATGGCCAAACCGTTGTGAGGATGACTTCGAATCAACGCGTCAGCAGTAACGCCAGTAAGGTATTTGAGGATTACTTACGTGGAAAGGCATACATCGCCACGATGGGTGTCCACCACTGCCTAAAACCAAGTGAGCTACGCAAAAATTTTGGCGACAAGGACACAAACCATTTCCCATTGATATTGCTACTTCCTTTCGACACAGCCACGCTATAGCCAGCCGTCAGCATATGGTCTCGTTGCAGCTGGACGACTTGGAACCTACATAGCAAATTGTCCAAAGACGATGCTCGTGTTGAAGAAGCAAAGGAAAAATCCTCGAAGTTCAGGACGACAGGTTTCACCAATCCATAAGGGCGAAATTGTGAACATCATGCCAATGGCAATGCCTGCCACAGCTATCAGTAGAGTTCATACAGTATTGGGAGGGAGATACCACGCACCATTGACTCCCCGGCCTGCAAGGTGCATTCGCCACTCCGGTGCAAGCTGTTGGAGCAGAACACCTGCGGTGGAAATGAAAGATGCGGCGAGAATGCCCCACTTACGACCATATTTCTCGAGAAGAGGTGCAAAAATGAATGTTGCAACAATCTCACACGCAGGCGCGATCGAGTTCCACGCTGACAAGTAGTGGGCAGGAATTAAGTAGCTGCCGTCCGGTTGCAAGATGCCAAACTTCTCTCTGAAAGCAGGCAAAGCAGCCAGTTGACCGCCCCCAACAATATCAAAACCTTGCATAATCACACCGCTGGAGATCCAAAGTGCTAGTACAAGGAGTTAGTTTCTGGTGTGTCAAGGGGTGAGAAAAGGTACCCCAAAAAGTGAAGCGCAATTGCGTCTTGAGGATTTTCCATTTGTTGTTTGGGTTCACGACCGAATAGTCGACTCTGCAAAGCGACATCGTGTCAATGACCATTGATAAGTATAGAAGAACGTGGGCTGCTTACCCATTGATCTCACCCATCTCGTATGACTTTCTTTGTTCTGCCTCAAATTGCTGAGCCGGTGGTGGCAAATGGAGAACAGGAAGCTTGGGGAGTATTTGATGTGATTCCGGATCAGAATTTCGGTTTTATATACCATTAACCATACCATCTCTCTTGGAATCTACTTCGATGGCTTTGCGAGCCGGCTCCGCAGGTGTCCAGATCGTTCAAAACGTGGGGGAGGGACTAGGCCCAAATCCTAGTTGCATTGGGTGAACTTTGTATTATCCGGCCGCTCGCAATCCAGACCGGGGGATAGGATATTGACGAGAACTGTAAAAACTTAAAAGGTGTGTTACATGGTGGTGCATGACCTAGATTTTGTGCAGTCTTAGAAATTGAGTATCGCCACCAAGATCGCGGAGAAGGCGAAATGCTCCGCGATCCCTGTCGTCTGAAACACAGGCGTTGTCGACCAATGACAGGGCGTACGGTTCGCAGGACCGATAAAATTCCAATCAGAGGGTCTGTGCACGTTGCGAGAAAAGTTTCTAGGTGGTTTGGAAGCCAACACATACCTACTCAATGCTCAATTCCCCGTGGCCACCTTTGCTTCGTGTTTTCAATAGATCATAGTCGAGGCATGATTGAAATTATGTGCGTAATCCATGTCAAGACAAGTTTCAAATACTGTTTAGCCGTGCGATTGAGCCATTGCAGTACCCGACAACATGGAAAGGCCGTAGGCTACTGCGTCGAAAAGCAGATCTTCCATTCCACAAATATTCGATTCCTTTTTCCCTCTCTCATGTATACATGAGTGACCGCTCGAAGACAGCATCATAACCTCGATCTCTCTTGCATGAGACTCCAATCTCCCTCGTTCCTCTCTGAGAATTCCATTTCCTTGACTCGGTCGTTTCTGGGGACCCCAGGAGATCACGCCCATGATCATGGTCGACAGCGCGAGTCGGAAATATTCTCATGCACGACCACTGATCCATTTCACAGCTCCAAGCTGGATTAACGACCCTTGCGCTCCCGGTTACGATCAGTCTACTGGGATCTATCATCTATTTTATCAATGTAAGCGGTCGCATCCTGGCTGTTCAACGTTCCTTGACAATAGAATACAGGTAATCCGTATGGCTGCGAGTGGGGGAACATGTCCTGGGGACATGCAATTTCCACGGACCTGCTGAATTGGACGCGGAGACGTGACCCGGCGCTTAGACCAGATCAACCCTACGATACCGACGGCGTCTTTACAGGATGTATGGCCCCCCCAGACATCAAGGACGATGGAATACTGGCGGTAGTGTACTCCTCAGTCCGGAAACTGCCATTCCACTGGAGCACGCCACCTTACCCCCGTAACGCGGCTGGAGTGTCTTTGGCCATATCCCTCGACAGTGGGAAGACCTGGGAAAAGTTGCGGGAAAACCCCGTTTTGCTGGGAGAACCGGATGATATTAAAGTGACGGGATTCCGTGATCCCTTCATTGCCAAATGGCCCTCCGCGGATTGGCTTCTAGGTCGGGCCGAGGAGAAATTGTATGGGCTCGTCTCTGGCGGTGTCGACACCTCAGGTCCTACCGCTTTCCTGTACGAAGTTCAACCCTGTGATCTTACAAAATGGAAATATCTCGGCCCTCTGGTGGATTTGCCGTTAAATTTCCAGCCATCAAAAAACTGGAGCGGCAACTACGGCATCAATTGGGAATGCGTAAATTTTCTTTCTTTCCAGGCTGGCTCGATCTTCAAACACTTCCTTCTTCTTGGAGCTGAAGGGGATATCGAGCGCGATCACATCGAGACTTATGATCTGCCGTCTTGCCTTTCTCCTCGGACAGTGAGAAGTCAGTTGTGGATGTCTGGAGATCTCATCAACAATGAAGGCAGCATCAAACTCCAATATCGCCAGGGCGGGTACCTTGACCATGGCTCCTTCTATGCTGCCAACTCTTTCAAGGACCCTATGTCTGGTCGGTACATAGTGCACGGATGGATCCCAGAGGAGGACATAACGCCCGAGCATGCCCGGCAAAAGGGCTGGAAAGGCTCATTGGCGCTGCCAAGGGAGGTATTTCTCCTCACAATTCCGGCTGTTGTCAAAGCGCTGCGTAGCCCACTCCATGACATCTCAGGCATCGAAACTGAAACTCGACCAGATGGAGCATATGACGTATACACCTTGGGTGTGAGACCCATATCGGAAGTGGATCGCTTTCGCAACAACTGTCGCAAGGTACATGAGACTAACGGCCACTTATTACTACCTCAGTCGACCCAACAGCGGCGGCGCTGGCTCTACTCAACAATATCATCAACATGGGAGCTTGAAGCCACAATTTCATTGTCGTCCAGTTGCGACACCGTTGGCTTCTACATCAGACACAACGACGATTTGTCTGTTTCTACCGCTATCACCTTTTCGAGCCTTGCCGAGAATATCACGATTGACAGAGCCGCCTCAAATGACGCTCCTAACATCAACAGATGTGCCGAGTCTGGCCCTTTCACCCTCTTCACAACTATGAACTATGCCAATGATAGAAGAGACGAAGCTGAGCTTAAGCCAGAGGCATTGCACCTCCGAATTCTCTCGGATGGGGATGTACTTGAGGTCTTCGCCAACAGTCGCTTCGCTCTCGCCACAATGGTGTATTCAAACTTCAAAACAGGCGCACATGGTGGCATAACCGCATTTGCAACCGGTGAGCCCAACAGCGCTGCCTTCGAGTGTGTTAAAATTTGGGATGGTTTAAATGGTGAGAAGTCAATAGTCAATGATGAGTCGTAGGGTCAGACTTAATGGCACGAGATTAGAGGATACAGTTTTGCATATTAAAGCTTCTTTGCACTAAGATTGGGGTTCCATGTCCATTTCAATTTTCTGCCAGAATTGGACTTATCAGGCCTGAAGGCGTTCCGTACTCAGCAGCCAATTTCTGCTCCAAAGTATCGGCGAGGAGCGTCAAAGATGGACTGATCTCGATCATTCGCCGATCTGCTGTCCGTGTCATGGCAAAACACTGCTTCAGCTTTGTGACGTCCACAGTACCTTGCAAACAAGGGGTTGCGGCACCCTTCAGCGCTGCCATCGTAGTCATGAATATGCTCGCGAATAGGGTCCATCTGTTGACAATGCACTCGTGAAAAGCCACCACGATACTGGAAACAAGCCGGATGTAAGAATCAAAAAATCGACGACTGTGGTCCAGTAGTTGCTCGTTCTCTGCTCCGTCATGGATGGCTTGATATATTGCCGGCCAGTAGATCGAAATCTTGCAGCAATAGTATTGGACGCGCAGGAAATTACTAAGTGGGCAGCGTGTGGAGGAAGATATGTTAGTCGGAGTGCGTTCCAGGCCGTGTCCGTCACTTTCAGGGCCGATTTCGAAGCGGACCAAGTCCGGGAGGTAATTATACCATTCTTCTAGCTGCATTTCCAGCTCGAGTGCGATGCCAGGTGCGTAGACTACCTTGCCCTCCGATGTTCGACGAATGGCTGTGTTACACCGATGCAGCATCCGTCTCATGACAATCTCGGCCAAGAAATATGACTGGACTTTGTCCGTGTTAGCACTCGAGGTGGAAACAACACTTGCCGGTGATGTTGGTGCAGCTGCTGGCGAACCGGCATCTACATCAAAGTGCCACGTCCTCCGGCTATCGGGAAGTGGGATCTCGTCATCGAGACTCCAGATCCCGCTGTTAGGGACATTGAATTGGACGCGGAGTTCGCTTTGAAATCATTCAGCAACTGAACGAGTGCATATGTGACTGAGACAGGGTTTTCGAACCTTTCGAGTAACAGGATCACCCAGTACGCTCTTCTCAAGCGCTCATACGATTCATTATCATCGTGGTCGACACTGCAGGCGTCAGCCACATACCTATACTTTTCAATACTGAAGAGTGCTTACTTTCGCAACGAGCTTTGCACCTTCAGTGACGCAGTCAGACAATAGTCGAGCGCGTGACATGGTTTGGAGAGACAGCAGTAGTATATGCTTAGCAGTATCAAGCTTTGCACGCTCTCTATGCTATCGTCTGTGAGTACAAGTGGTAGAGACGCTATAGCAGCCTCAAAATATGGATGATGAGTGGGCTCCGCTTGAAACCCATCGACACCCGGACTGTTGTACACCACAAGTCCGATTGCAGTGACCAGAAGTGTGAGGCATGATGCCGGCGACGGTACCAGTGGTCCTGAGATCACGCGGAAGTACTGATCTGAGAAGCCGGGGCGAAATATTGGATACCAAATGTGGATATGGGTAGAGAAGCTTGCGAGGGCGCTAGAGAATTGAGCTTCAAATCAGCAACCTGGCCATTAATGTATATCGATTGAACGGGCTCCTAGGCGGCGTACTCACGTGAGAGCTTGCTGGTGTGTGACCATATACAGGCGTCCGGAAGACACGGCAGTGGTATTCAACGTTGCTCTTTCCAGTTGTCGAATGCGCCGGGCAAAATTGGCATCCAAGCCTAGAATGTTCATCACGGTTTGGGTTCCGAGAAGCTCGAAGGGCGACTTCTCCTCGTCGCTGATTTCATTCTGGTGAACCCAACCATCTGCCGTGAATCGTGGATAGTGCGTCGACGAATCCAGCAGTGTAGTCATATAGTCAAGCCGTCGATTAATTGCCGCGAGCTCGAGGTCCACGCTAGATACTGTTATTTGTTTGTCGCATGACCAAGCTTTGAGAGCCTGCAAAGAGGGAGAACACGCACCTGGATGGTGGAGGTGTCGGAGCCTTCTCATACCGGCAATCTAGGCCACGGGCACGGCAGAAGGCACAAACCGGCCTTTGGCCGCCACATCTGGTACGTCGAGAGCGACAAGTGTTGCACGCGATTACGGTAATCTTCCTCCTCGTGGCTGCACCTCGCTGAGAGCCTACCTTGGGCTTGATAGCCGGCTCATTAGAGCCGTGAAGTGGACTCTGCATCCTTGAGCAACGGCGATGCTGGGGCAGACGATTCTCTAGAGTCCTGGAGAATGCCAACCGCGGAAGAGCTATATACCTCCGACGAAAACTTTTCTTCTGAGAAGCCAGTACCGGAGCCGGTCTGGGGGCGGCTTGAGTACGCGGTAATGTCCAACAGAAGCGGGGGAGGTTTCATCGCCACGATCGCCTCTCTCGCGGAGCAGGATCTGTTCTCCGCGAAGGCCCACAAATTCCGCCAATGACTTGCCCCGGACAGGGTGGAAAGAGGACGTGCTCATGTTCGTCGTATGGGGCGTAATATTGTCTTACACCCAATATGAAGATTTTCCAACGTGCCTCTATTACTATTGCTCCCATTCTCCAACTTATTTCTCGGAAGCTATGGAGATCATCTGTCCATTGTTGGCATCAATGGAGCTGTCTCCAAGAGAACGGCCCCGAAACTTCTCGGCGATTATGTGCCGGAAAGCAATTGTGTTTTGCTATTTAATTGTGTCGAGTTCGTCTTCCTTTACTGCATCTTCCATACTACTGTCCAAAAGTCTACGCTTTCAAAGAGTCCAGCGAGCGGCATCGAACAGAATAATCTTATCCATATTCCATTTTGTCTGCCTTGCCAGACAGAGCATCAATTCGACGTCCTCAGATTTTGGTCACCATGTCTGACTCATTCTTCTCCGGCGGAGACTTGTTGTCTGCTGTGGCACAACGCAAAATCGCTCGCACTGCTCGAATATCCAGCTGGGATCAGTCTGGACTGAATGAAGATGCTTTCGTGGTCTTGCCAGGCAAGACAGCGGTCTTGGCCGACATCGAAGGCCCGGGCAAAATTACCCATTTATGGTTCGTCCAAACCTGCCGCCGGATTCTGGGTCCCGGTCTCATACCATACTCCAAGTCTGGCGTTGCGATGATGGAAATACACAACGCTTTGGGCTTGAACTTCGAAGACAGTGACCCGGATTACTATCGTAAAGTGATCATCAAGATGTACTGGGACGACTCAGAAACTCCCAACGTCCTAGCTCCGATTGGCGACTTCTTCTGCCTAGGACATTCAATGGCAGCCAATTTCCAATCCTTACCATTTACCGTGTCCGTCAAGCCATCTGAGGAGAAAAAGTTTGGAGGCGCGGCTGCTTTCAACTGCTACCTGCCAATGCCGTTCAACAAACGCGCCCACATTGAAATCGAAAATCAAGGTGAAGATGCATATTTTCAATACTTCTACATCGACTACGAACTGCACCCTGCACCTTTTGACCCGAAAGAGATTCTTTATTTCCACGCTCATTGGCGGCGTGAGAATCCTACAAACGGTTGGGCTCCTGACAATCTGCAAACAAATAGCCTCGAAACACAGGTGCCAAATCTGGACGGAAAGGGGAATTACACCATATTGGAAACCACTGGGTCAGGAACATATATTGGGTGCAACCATTCGGTCCTTCATTTTCAGGGAACTTGGTGGGGCGAGGGCGATGATATGATCTTCATTGACGACGACGAGTGGCCTCCCAGCATGCACGGTACTGGCGGAGAGGATTACTTCACTCAAGGGTGGGGGATGCAGAAGAATGCATATCCTTTTTGTGGAACTATAATCCACGAAGAAGACGTTCCTGGATACCAAGTGTCGTACCGATGGCATCTGTCGGACCCTGTCCGCTTCAACTCTAAGATCAAGGTCACTTTAGAGTCTGGCCACGCCAATCACTTGCGTGACGACTGGTCAACCACTGCCTACTGGTATCAGACCCTGCCGGGCCCCAAGCTTGAGATTCTTCCCATTACGCAACGGCTGCCTAATCGGCCCCAAGTCAAAGCACCGGAGCCAGCCGGGCCACGATCACTGCCAGCGCTGACAGAACTCCAAGTAGAAAAGATAAAACAACGAGAGGAGCGGCTGAAAGCTTTCGTTGAAGACCGGAATAAGTGGTTGGAGAGAAGGAGCGCTGCAAGCGTTGAGAGGGCGGCCAAAAACATCGAGCATGCCAAAGACGTCAAGAAAAGATTCCTCGAAAGTTTGAAGTAGCTCCTGGTATCATTTGTATTTTCGTCGAGAAGCATATGCGTGCTGGGCGATACATTAAAAATCCTATCTATAATGATCAACAATTGATGTGTTTACCTAGATAACTTCCTAGTCGGCCATTGACTATGGCAAAAAAATGGCGAAGAGAAGGCGTGCAGATTGGGACCAAATGGGTGTTCTGCAGCAGAAATTTTGCCACATTTCACACCAAGCGGTTTTGCCGGGCGTTGTTCCACTAAATGGTCGTTGCGATTGAGAATTATGGGCATTGCTACACGGGGCATTGGGATACGTCTCCGTAAAAACCTAGATTGGTGAACCAAAACCTGTTCGTGACATTGTCTGAACAGGAGGGATACACGTTAGTTCCTAAATAGTGCTGCACGCCAGTGAAACTTGGAAGTAGGGGTCAAGGAATACGGCTACCTTTCAAGCGAGAGGTAACCTCAGAAGTTAGGGGGGCATGTAGAAGGGCAGTAGTATGCTCTTTAGTGTATTTTGGGGTTGCGGGCCTTAGTCGAGTCAATTCTACATATACTAGTCGTCTACCTCATCCACTTTTTAACTCGAACCAAACACCTCCATGTTTAGCTGGTATTTGTCGTCAACTGCCGCGGTGCTTATAACATCTTGGAGTTTGCACAATGTTATTACGTAGATCAAGAACAAGCCGTTCATGTGCTGCACAACGAGTCGAATTTACATTGGCACAACCATACTGGTCCAAGCATACTGGATCCTTGAGATTTACGCCAACTTCACATCAACAATATCAAGGAGCATCTCTTCATCTCTACCAGACCATACGAAGCACTTTGTCGGTATGAAGTTCCGTCCACTCCGTCAAACAACTACAAGAGACTAACATTTAAATTCTAAGCGATCCCTATATTAGGGATCTACGCAACGCAGTAGGTACAGAGAATTAGAGTAGCTGAATGCCTTGTTCTATATCACGTAGTTCTATTGACAACGACTCAACGCTTAAGAAAAAGGAAGAGTTCTCTCTCAGCCGATTCGGGTGAGAGGAAACTCTATAGCTTCCCCTCTTTCTGTCACGTGAAAAGGGTAAGGCGGCGTTAATTAATAGCCTTGTGCTTTAGCTCTCCTTGGCTTATACTTCAACCATTCTTTGCCTTATTCTTTTCTTTCTATACCGTCCACCTGATTCGGGTGGAGGGCGTAGGGTACTTAGGGATAACGGTAGGCTCGTGACACCCTAGTGAATCTTCACCACTATCAACTTATTCTAGAACATCAAACACAGCTATAGCTTCGGCTTCATCGAGATTATCAAGGTATTACCGCGATTTAGTATCTTACTTCTAAGTATGAGCCTCAGCGTCGCGTTCATAGTCGTCGACATTTTGTCTGTTACGTCAGTCCTTCATACAGGCTCAATCAATCCATTCTAGAATTTCTCATTTATTTTTAAGTGCTTCACAGACACCATCATCCCGGACGATTCCAAAACACCCTTGGATAGAATCATGCAGCACAAAAACGATCAACTGATCGGTCAGCTCGTAGGAATCCAAAGATTGGGCCAATAATTGAGCAGTTGGAGTTCGGGAGACAGATTGAACTTCAAAGAATAGATTTGGAGCATTCTTCTGGGGTGAATCTGAACTCCCCTGTCTGACCTGCGGCAATACTGCACGAGGATTTAACTGATGAAGTTCGGGTATAAGGATGGAAGGCAAAAAACTCTGAAAGATCATAAAGCCATGTACATTCTAATTGCACTTAGAATGACCATTTTTGCAGTATCACTTTCGGCTTTGGAGAGTGAACTACGTTCGAGTTCGAGATGCATTTTCAATTCCAATGCCAGTCAAGGCGTCGCGCTGCAGTGCTTCTGTTGACAGGGTTGCAAGATAGCCACTGTGGCAAACCACCTGAGACGCTAGCTGTCACACCAATTGCAGTACTTACCTCAACATCGTTGTTCCCACCGGCCTGTAACAGCATGGCGACGGAATAGGAGGTTTCAGGAATGCTCTTGTGGTTACAGGCCAATGTAACAGGAAGAGTCTCTCTGAATAGCTAGGGGAGAGGGACACAATCAACCAGACAGGTCCACAACTCAACCCTTTCGTCCAACAGGATGACTCAGTGTCAGCTCAGGAAGCAGTAGGTGAGCCGAGGGTGCGCAAAGCGGCGAGCGGCTAATCAGAAACAGAAGATGGAAGATAGGATTTTCGTTCGATACTACCTATGGTGTTTGGTCTTCTGTGGCATTTTCTTCCACGAAGGACAGTTGGAGTATCTGAGACGCATCTAGTTGGTAATCACTTTACAAGCACCACAAGCGTAGCAATCTGGGCGACTCCATGGACACAGTCATCTTGACACCACGGCTCAAACTGGCTCTGTTAACAAAAGCGGAACGAGGAAGTCCGGAGTTGGAATGGTTGCATCAACTGCACAGCAACGAAAAGGCTACTTGGTGGAGGTATGTCTCCCGTTTTGTTAGTTCGAAAGTTCTCTTTATTTCCTCTTCTGGGTTCGGTTAGTACTTCGCGATTTGACTTTGTTAACAAAAATAGCATCAATGGCCGGGCGAAGTCGATCGAGGACACAGAGGACGTTACCAGACGTTATCTGCCCACCAACGACGCAGAATTAGAAGGAGCAAAGACATATAGAGTCGCCTATACTGTGCACAAGATTCTTGAGCCGATGACCTTGGCTGTTGAGACCAAACCGCAAACAGCAGGACATGAAGGAACACCAACAGAATTCATCGGCCTTGTGACTCTCAAATCATTGGATACCAGCAGCCTTACGTTGCCCGAGGAATTCAACCCATCGGTTGCCGCTGCCACTGTGACATTAACTGTCGAACTGGCGTACATGTTTTTACCGACAGGATGGGGCAAGGGATACGCAACCGAGTCAGTCGAGGCAATGTTTGGCTCCTGCAAGAGGGCGAGATCGTTTTGGGCACCTTTCTTGAACCTTTACGTGCGGGCGATTGTGAATGATGGCAATCCAGCGAGCCTGCGAGTGATGGACAAAACTGGGATGACAAAACGTGGTATTTACAACCTGACTGGGAGAACTGTGTTCCTTGCTGGAGAATGGCGCGAGCAGCATAGGCTTCATATCTTTGGCAGGCATCTGTTAGAGTGACTGTTGGAGTGGCGAAGTTCTGGAGTCAGCGGTGGCATTGGCTCACACAAGGCCCGAAAGCTGTCTGAATGGAGATGTATTTTCCACGAGTGATCTATCAGCTATGGAGCAAGTGCGGAAAGATGATATACGGTGTTGCAAATATGAATTATGGCTAAGACGCTAGTAGTTCAGTTAGGCTCAACATTTGAGAATTAGTATCGGGCTACAGCGCGAGCAGAGTGGTTTCCGATACAGTATAGACAAGTTCGATACAATGTAAGTATTGGATTGGATTAGATCGGTATTATAATAATACTGTTGGCAGCAACCTATTGAGGGCTAATGGAGCACGTGATCTCTAGATTAGGACCAGCGTGTATTAGTTTCTCAGTTTCAGCCTTCAAAATTCACTGATTTCCCCTTAACTTTATTGTTAAGAGAAATGCCAAGAAGTATTATATCCTGGTACTCCTGATTCATCCAATACCGGCTAATACTAGTATTGTGGTAATACTTATCGATACCCGGGGTATCGAAAACCGGGCGAGAGTGATTTTGCCTTCAAAGTGGCTGCCTACCGCAGTAATCTTCCGCACGCCTTAACCGTTACCCTGTCGACTTCATTTGAAAGCCTTCGTCTAGCACATTCACCCCGTCATGCTTATTGAAGTTGTCACGCGAGCTGAGCTAAATTCTCATTTCAGAGGGAGGCAATGATGAGCTGACGCTACAAAAGCCTGACTGGCGAATATCACTTCGCGTGAAAAACACTCCACATTCCTTGTACTGCAGCAGTGATGGTGGTGTCGTCAATGGCTGCAGTGGGATCCAAACCGTTGACCTGATACGGTAAATCTCCGCTCCAAGCCTAATCATTTATTCCCCTGGTCCCCAAATCTCGGCACACTTCCAATGGGATGACAGGCACAAGGAGGCCTTGCTGATCATACAGAATCCTGTCTATGGATAGCTTGGTAGACTTCGGCTCCTCACAGTACAGGGAATCCTGCGGCCTGAATTGGAATCTACGCATCGTCCATGAGCTGATTACTATTCATCTTGACTCCTCTCACCTCGTGTTTGCATAATCTGACGGTATCACTGCGGTTGCCGTTGAAGATGAGTCCTGACAGGCTATTGGGCTCAGTTGTACAGTTGAGGATATGGGGGATTTCCACACAACCCACAAGTATAAGAATTGGCACGCTAGCAATGGCAGGGTGATCGTCTCTTATCCAAAAAACTAATGGCGCTCCTAGACTCCCTGAGACTTCTTCAGGTTGTTGTCCTTTTGCTTGCTATTTCATTTGTCTATGTAAGTCTTCAGTCGAGTCGCTTTGTCCCGGTTAAGGTGTTGACCCCGAGACTGTTTTCCAGCTTGTTTACATTTCAATATATCGACTGTTCTTTCATCCACTTGCAAAATATCCGGGACCGCTCCTTGCAAAGCTTACGACCTGGTATTCTGCCTACCACAATTATGTGAACGATGTTCACATAGATATTTTGAGGTGTCATGCAGTCTATGGTACGTTAGATGTTTTCTCAATGTTGTTGTTTATTAGAATAGCTGAAACAATCGCGCAGGAGATTTTGTTCGTTACGGACCAGACAGACTTGTGGTCAATAGTGCAAATGGATTTCATGGTACGTCTTTGTCTTTGTGTCTCCAGGTCTACATGTTCATCTGGACGTTTGACAGACATCTACGGCCATGCCAAAAATATCGCCAAGTCCAAGGCTTACTGGGCGCTCCTTGGTAAGGAGGAGGAGTGGTCGGTTTTGACTGCTTGGGACAAGACGGTGCATGGGCGGAAACGACGCGTAATAGCTCAAGGATTCACCGAAGCTGCGGTCCGGGGATATGAACCCGTCATCAAGGAGAATATCGCCATTTTGTGCAAGAGACTACTGGCAAGCGACGGGAGAGAGGGAGCACCGGAAGCGTCAAGTGCATGGAGTCTCCCGTTGGACATGTCAAAGTTCGGTAAAGAACAAGGCCGCGAATGTTTCGACAATCATGCTTACATCAAGCAGCCAATTACCTTTCTTTCGACATCATGACCGACGTTGTATTCAGTGTCAAACGCCATCTGATCGAAAATCCCGATTATCGCTGGATCACCTCTTGCATTGAGAGAATGATGAATCGCATTGGCGTTGTCTCTATGGTCCCCTGGACGAGGTGGTGGGGTCTAGGGCTTCACTGGGCCATTAAGCCGGACGGCGTACGAGCATATCTGCGGTTCCATGACGAAGCCGTATACTTTGCCAAAGCAAGGATGAAGCAGCAGCTTCCTGAGGGCAGGAAAGACGTTTACCAAAACTTACTAAATGCGAAAGACGCACAGACTGGAGAGGGCCTGCCGCTGCCCGAGTTGCTGGCCGAAACGGGATTGTTGATTGTTGCGGGTAAGCTGCTTTACTGTTTTTTGCCAGCCATTTGAGCCAAACCATAACACACCCTGACCTCGCCAGGTTCCGATACGACCTCATCCGCTCTTGCTGGCATATTCTTTTACCTGTCACACAATCCTTCCGTCTACGCCAAAGTCGCCCACGAAGTCCGCACCACCTTTCCCTCGGTATCATCCATTAACCACGGGCCTGAACTTCGCTCCTGCGTGTACCTCTACGCCGTTGTCAACGAGTGCCTTCGCATGTGTCCGCCTGTCTCTGCGGCTCCATGGCGCGTCGTTCTCAAGGGCGGCCAACGCATCGATGGTCATGATATACCCGAGGGCACTGAAGTCGGGACAGGCCTGTACTCCCTCATGCATAATCCTGCATATTTTGCCGAACCTTTTAAATTCAACCCTGACCGCTGGATTGAGACGGAGACCAATCCTGCTGCAAACATCGAAATCCAACGGAGGGCTTTCGTGCCGTTCCTTAGCGGTGCGAGAATGTGTGCGGCGAAGAACTTAGCCATGGCTGAGCTGCTGATAACGACAGCACAGGTTTTATACACGATGGATTTCAAAGTCCCTGATGGCCCCGGGGGGAAAGTCGGCCAAGGTATGGTGGGCATGGGAGTCGGGCGAGAACGGCCAGAGGAGTTTCAACTATACTCGCATTTTGTCACTGTGGCTAAACATGGCCCTATTCTACAGTTTCGGAGAAGGGACGCAAACTGAAGACCGGCGCTGTTGGGCTGAAGACTACAGGATTGGTAGAAGTCTCGAAGAGCCCACATGACGATCTTGTTGACGGTATTGGTCCTGATGCCTATTGGGCACTGGTGAACCTCGGCTCCATCCTCCAGAAAGGGCTAGTGAATCAAGAGTTTGGCGAGCTTGACTAAATAGTTCTCCTTGGCGAACAAAAGATCGTCAAACTACGGCGACCTCAACGTGGGGGTCCAGGCCCCAAGGGTGCCGCCTTTTGAACACCACGAGTCGATGCAGCTTGTCTCGGGGTTTAAGTTCTCACGTGCCCCGAAAAGGCTGGCTGAAAGATAGACGTGGCTGGCTGAGAAAAGCTTTGCGGCTGAGGGGGTGATAGAGGGGTGTTCTGCGTATAGAGTGCTCCCAGATAAAGCTATATACCCCCTTCCTACGACCATCTTGTCGTACTCGGAACATCCAATTACCTAAGCTAAGCACGTTGCCAACCTCTAGTAACAATGTCTAAACCAGCTTATATCGTACATATCGATGGCTCAGACAAAGAGCAGCGCTTCCGCGAGCACCCCGTTCTCGACTTCCTGTTTGACCACCAAGAAGCATTTGACCACGGCGACATGAAGAGCGGGCCGTATACTCGATTCCACACCGACGATTTCGTCTTTACAAAGTCTGACGGCACTGTTTTCCCTCCCGGCGAGGCATCTTGGCAAGGCTGGCTGTCAGGCTATGCTCCCTTCACCGAGCACCTCCACGAGCCGCGATACTGCAACGTGTACGAGCGCGACGATGGGAGCTGGGAGATGATGGGCATTGCGCACATTTACGGCAACTTCCCCGTCCCAGGAGGGGACAAGACGAAGACAGATTTCTCTGGTCGTCAGTGGGGCGTTGTCGTACCGGGCGCGATGGTCTTCAGGTGTGTGAAGGACCCCAGCGGTCCCAAGGGATTCAAGGTCAAGTCCATGACTGTGTATGGGGACGGTACCCCCGTTGTGGCCGAGATGATCAAGCGTGGAATGATCAAGCCTGAGGATCTAGCAAAGTAATGATCAGACGCAGAGGAATTCAGCTCGGTTCAGAAAGAACGGGATATGTGTTTTTAGAACGGTTGAAGCAGTGCGTGCTCTTAGACAATCAAAGCAGGTGTTTGCTTTGGAGTGTTGTGGTAATTATGATTGCTTCTGCTGCTTCCCGCGGTTGACCGTGTGCGTGCTCTAATGTGTGGCACCTATATATCATCATAATACTCCAGATACGGGAGAATCCATCTTGCTTGGGTGGGATAATAGTTACTATTTCAAGGTGGGGTCCCCGGGTGTGCACAGGGCGGCGTCACCATTGTCCTCAAATGGGCCTAAGCCCGCCCGCGGAATTTACCTTTTCTCTTGGCCTTAAGATTTCTCCAGACTGCGTATCCTCATGGATCCCTGCATGTACAGTAACAGAACAAGTCTCCCCTTTCCCCCTCCGTGAAGAGACGACGTGCGCATATCAGCTTTACCAACCAGTCCTCTCTGCTCTCTGTCAGCTAGTCATCAGCTTGATACCGCCGAACCACAGCAGCCATGCCTCAAGCGCAACCCGAGCTCAAAAAGGTACCTTTACGAACCACCCCTCTCTCCCACAACAGTTGTGTTGATTGTTCGTGCTGACTATGGCTGTCAATTGCAAAACGAAATTTAGTACATGGAAAAGCGCCTATTCGTCCAACTGAACGGCAATCGCAAAGTCATCGGCGTCCTGCGCGGCTATGATGTTTGTGTCCTCCCCCATTCCTCCTCCCTGCAAACTTCCTCCTGCCACTACTTTCGCTCGACAAGACCCAATGCGCAAACAATGCACCAAAAAGATGGCGGAAGCGCGTGGCACAAACAAACCGAAATGCGATCACAGCTGACACTGCATGCCCTTGAACACAGGTCTTTCTGAACATTGTCCTCGACGAAGCCGTCGAAGAAAAGGCAGGCGGCGAGCGCGAGAGGTTGGGAATGGTGGTCATCCGTGGCAATTCCGTTGTGATGCTCGAGGCGTTGGAACGGATGGGCGATGATCGACGATGAACAAAGTCCCCGCGAAAATGCCTATGCGAGAAATGGCGATGAGGTCTGGAAGAATTACAATGTGACACCCGCGATTGGAAAGCTTCTGGCGACAATTTCGGGATGGAAAAATGGGTCTCAAGGAGCGCTCGCTTCATTATTGTTACACACGGGTCTATGAAGGATGATCATACGCACAGGCGACAATTGCCCTCCACCGACATTTTTCGCCAGTCTCCATTCTCGCCTTCAGGACATCCAATCTCTTTTCCACCTGGCCACTCTGACTACAATGAGGGACCCATCTTCCACCAAACAAGCTGCTTACGATTGCGAGGAACTTCCCCCTCCAGCTGGTCTCTTCGGAATCTTCAAAGTGATGCGGCCCGGTCCCCCGATAGGTGTCTGCGGCTTTGGAGCCTGCTTTTGCTGCGCCGGCTTGGTTTGGTGGGGCATTGGAGGCGCCATCGGTGCAGGATGTGGAAGCCCAATCGAAGGCTTACGATTTGGGCCTGTGAAATGAACGTCCTTGTTACTGCCGCCCACCTTCAATTTCAGCTTCAAACCGCCTCCTCCTCCGATACTTGGTCGCGATTTCGGTAATTCTGGACGAGGTCCCACGACAGCAATGGGAGGGGGTGGAGGCTGCCATTTTGGCACGGGCTTGCTGCGGACTTTGCGCGTCTCCAAGAACTTGAGTTTGCCCTGCAACAGCGAAAGCCGCGTTAACTCGAAAATCGAGAACGTATTATCAATAAATGAAGCAGAACTCACCTTTCCTAGATTCTGAACTTTCCAATATCGAGGCAGTCGTAGGGTGACTTTCATCTCGTTGACGGGCTCGTACAGCAAGCGGCAGAAGTCCAGCAAAGTTTGCAAATCCTCCAGGGTAATTTGGTTGTAACAGATAGCATTCCACAGTGCCAACTGAAGAGGACCATTTTTGCCGAGATCCTCCCTCAATGCTTTCACTGCGCCCCCCAACGTCTGCCGCCTGGCAAGCTCCTCTTGCCGCTTGGAAGGTTCGTCGGCGCCAGCTGCGGCTCCTTCAATGATCAGAGAATCGGCGGCAGGTTGCATCATGCTGCTTTTCTCGCCAATCGCTCGTCTTCCGAGGACCTTGCCAAAAGCGCGCTGGAGACTTTGCCGTATGTAGGGTGACGGGTCAGCCACCATGCAGTACAACACATAGCGCAGGATGGATGGGTTGTCGAATATCTTTGGCGTGACCAGGATTCCATAGGCTGTTTGTCGAAGCATATCGTAGTTGCCGGGCCTGGTGTACTGCAAGAAATGCAAGGGCGAGAATTGCCCTATCCCGGTCGCGGCAAGCAAGGCCTGACACTCCAGTGCAGTTCGGCAGTACAGGTTCTGGTATGAGCTTGTCCATTCATCCATTCTACGGTACCGGTCGATCTCATCCAGAAATTGACGCTCGAACTCCCTCAGATCATGGATCTCGTCTTCGATCTCAAAGTTTTCGGCAATGTCCCACTCGCTGTACCGGGGCCGGGCGATGGCCGCGCCAGTCAGCGCTTTCATCAACCGAGCGACATAGTATGCGTCTGAATAGTCGTTTACCGAGTTATCGTTGAACTTCAACTTCTCCAGTAAGAAGTCTCTGGCCTCTTTCGGGGAATATCCTTGACTATTCCGAACCATCGCAATGGCTTCCATGATCTCACATTGCAACATGTATGACAGTTGGTCCGAGAAATCATTTGGCCGTGTCATGGCTGAGTTTTGGTCTGTAATGCAATACAATTCTTCATAAGCCTTCTTCAGATGGAACAAGCCGATATTGCCAACTTCTTCCGCGGCATGCCTGACTAGTGCCTTCGCCGCTAGTGCCCGAACACCATGAAAATACCGACGGTCCATCAAGGTGCGGACGAAAATCGAGGACGTGGTTGCGTCAGGTGGATATCTGGAAATCGTGCGGATCGACTCGATCTGCGCGACAACATCTCGGTCTTGTTGGAGCTGAGATGCGTACATGTACCCAGGCATGGCAAGGTTCATAGTGCAAATCCATTCAAAGTCGGCGTCCAATCGAATCCATTCGTAGGATTCGGAGTTCATTCTGTCTTCCTGGTCAGAAGTCCACTCTTTTATCCGCCAGTTGGCCATTTCCTCTTCAGTCTGGAGCACGTCGCCCAGACAGTAGACGAGAGAGTCATTGTCCTCTTCTGCCTGTTCGGTCGTAGCTTTGGTGTTAGTTCGAGCCCTCTGCTTCTTGCTTCTTTTAAGACGCTTATATTTGGTGTTATATGGAACTTCCATGACAGTGTTAGCATCCTTGATCTGCACAATGTGTTCATAAGGAGTGCCGTCAGCTTCATGAATTCGAATCGTCATCGGCCCGGTAAATACTGGTTGGGCAGTGGCTGGCCACACTCCGTAGAAGTCGTCACGAGCGTCTCGTAGAAAAAATTCGGGATCAAGGTCCCGCACCGTTTCACGCGAGGCTTGTTCTTGCCGGATGCTCATTTCCACAACCAACTTTTTCTTATTGAATCTTTGCTGGGCAAAAAAACGAGGGCATCCTGCTCCTTTGACCCATTGAGCCAGAAAATCATCAATCTTTTCGTGACCCATCCGTTCAGTAGTCTTCTGGAACAACTCCGTTGAGAGCGCGTTGTTTTCTAGATCACCCGTTCGAGCCTTCGTAAGCAGCTTTGCCAGGATGCCGGGCATCTTGGACGTGCCCTCTCTCTTCGCGATACGACGATCCAATATGAAGAGTACGACTGGAGCTTTCGTGGCCAAAAATTCGTGTTCTGCAGGATCAACGTAGGTTACGGCGCCTAGTTCATAGATTGAAGGTCGTTCGTAGTCCAGTTCCACAACGCGATCCGCCTGCTGCTTGATGTATGCTCGGTATTCATTGTTTCCACAGAGTTCCCTCATGAAGAGGTTGGTGATAAAATAGGCACCTCCTACAATGACCCAATTGTCTCGAGGGGTTTCGGCAACAATATTGACGCCGATCCACTGAGAGACGATCGCATGCACTAACTTTCTCGTGACTTCCTGCGCCGGGTCGATGACCTCTTCCGGATACAGAATTCGAGTGCTGCAGATTGTTACACCCGCAAAGATGAACACATCGGATGGAGCATCTTCGACAAAGCACATGGCATAAGACTTGACAGGGCAGGATATGTATTTTTGGACGACATAATCCATGGCTTTGGTGGTGGGCAAGCAGGTGTTTCTCGTCTCTTCTGATCGTCCAGGTAGGCAATATGCCAGCATCTCAACGGCATTGCGACCGATGTCGGCAACCTCTTGTGCATCTCGGAGTTCGCTCAAATTGACCTGCTCGAAAGGTCCGATGGCAAAGCCGATCTGCTGCGGCGCCAATTGTTGAGAGCAGGAGAAAGACATGGTCTTCAGAGTAGGGTCATTCTTGTCCAGTATCTCGTCGATAAGCTCGCCGGAGCAGAGTACGACCATCTCTTTGGACTCGTAGCTCTGGCGAGATGAATCCTTAGCGGCAGCGACTCGATTGCGGCGCACACCATCGACCGCCACGGCTTGGTTGATAGCATCGCCCACGGTCCTCGGGCACTGAATAGAGATGTCCCATGTGCATCGACTGTTGATCTCGTCCACGCATGGAAACAAGGCCGAGGCACCGCCAGATCCCAGTTTGGTTCGAGTGTACGCGTGGGGCCATCGGCCACTTCCCGCGCTACCGGAGACAAAATGAAGAGATTCCCTTGCATGGCAAGACTCGAACTCGATCACCAGCGTCAAAGGAGTAAATTTCGCGGCAGTAGTGTCTGACAGCGCCTGTGTGAGCTCGGTAGCAGAAGGACCTTGAGAGAGCGGATCTGTGATTTGGACGGAGCCAGCAGCTTGAGTGTGCACTTCTGCTACTGTGACTGGCACGATCTTCAACCTTTTCGGGAGGCCAATAACGATATCCGGTAACGACTCTGGGCCAACCGATCTCGCTATTTTCTCCGCTAGAAAATGGTGCTGATAGACTGAACCATGGGAATGGAGAGTAAGCTGATCGCAGGGGTCGTCATGCCGTACTGATGATGGCGGAATGCCGTTGATCAAGACCTTTTTGATGGTACATTGTCGACCATGCAAGCTGATTTCCTGGAGGTCCGTGGAATCGGGATAGATGGTGATCTCGGTCTTTCCGCTGATTTGTTGGCTGAAATAGACATCAAGCTCGACCTTTTGATGCGCGACAGTAAATGAGGGCTCCTTGATTACGGGCTGCTGGTCCTCTTGAGCCTCCATTGTGAGGAGCGAGGTGAGGATGGCAGGGTGAGGTAGTTGTGAAGCATCATCGCCTACACCCCGACCTCTATACTAATTTGTTACAATGAACAACCGTTCACTGGGCCAACCTCTGGGGAATGCCGCAGAGATGGATCATCGGTAGGATGGTGAGAAAAGGCTGATCAAAGTCAGAAGGTCGAAGGATGGAAGAGATGCAACGCGAAGGCTGTAGCACGTGCAACACGTGCGACACGTGTCGAATTGACGGGCGGGTGTTAAAGCAGCAGCATGGTTAGCGTCTTGGCACGACCGGCGACCTGGCATCTTGGCATCTTTGCTACGACTTCGAACTTTTCCTTCTCTTCGTCAACTTGGTTCAGGGGTTTTCGCTCTCAGAGGTCTTTTCCAGTCGTGTGAGCATTTGATAATCATGTCGAGCATGCGAATAGACCGCTAGTACGCTTCCCTTATGATTGCGCCTTCGTATCTCTTTCTTTACCTTCCCGTCTTTTAGACCTTTAGCACATTGCCTAGATCGGCGTTGGATTCAAGGTTAGAGACGGCTAGCAGCAACTTGAATCATGGTAGAATCAGGTAGGTCTTCAAGCACCGGCTACCATTTGGTCCTTTATCTTGTCTGCCGTCCAGGAAACTTATCATCGCTCAACAGCCGACCCTCTCTCGGATGAGGCCATGGCCCACCTGAAGACCTATAAGTACCAGAGTGTAGACGAGTCGTGGATATCAAATCATATCCTGCGCCACTACGTATGTCGTTGAACATGTTTGGTCCGTCCACGTCAGCTCATGGGTTTACAGTGGAATGCGGCCGTCAAGTTCCTCCCTATGTGGCTTGCTCCCAACATGGTGACACTCTTGGGTTTCTTCTGCATCTTGATCAATATCGCGTTGCTGCAAGTCTTTGTTCCAGATCTAGTGGGACCCGCCCCCCCGTGGCTCTCTTATAGCTTTGCTCTGGGACTGTGGATGTACTCAACCATGGACAACATTGACGGCAAACAAGCCCGCCGAACCGGCACATCCAGCGGCCTCGGCGAACTCTTTGACCACGGCATTGACTCGCTCAACTGCACTCTGGGTAGCCTACTCGAGACGGCCGCGATGGGTCTGGGGCCGACCAAGATTGGGGCCTTTACAGCACTCGTGCCCTGTCTGCCCATGTTCTTCTCCACATGGGAGACATACCACACGCATACCCTCTTTCTGGGGGCGTTCAACGGTCCCACCGAAGGTCTCATCCTCGCATGCTCCTTCATGTTGATCTCAGGCTTGTTGGGCCCGCAATTCTGGCAAGGACGCATCGCCGATTATGTTGGCTATCCGCAGATATTCGGCGACGTGGTCTTGCTCGACCTTTGGGTCCCCGTCGTCCTTTTCGCCTTCTTTGCGGCCCACCTACCTTCCTGCATACACAACGTCTACCGGGCACGAAAACAACAAAATCTTCCTCTCTGGCCCGTCTTCCTGGAGTGGATTCCGATGATCATCTATACCGTCTCAGTTGCCGCATGGTGTGGGTCCCCGTACTCAATTCTCCTGCGAGACAACTACCTCGTCATATTCTGCCTTACGCTCTCCTTCGTGTTTGGCCGACTTACGACAAAAATCATCCTCCACCACCTTACGCGTCGGCCGTTTCCCTATTTCACAATCGCACTGGTCCCTCTGGCCATTGGCGCGATATTGGCCTGGCTACCACTTTTCGGATTCGACCCGGTCCCGGCTGAGTTTGAACGCTGGTATATCTATGGATGCTTTGTCTTCGCTATGATTCAGTACTTCGTGTGGGCGGTCCGGGTGATTAATCGCATCTGTCAAGTCTTGGACATCAACTGTTTGACGATCAAGGAAAAGAAGACTGATCAGAGAGAGCAACCGGCGTCGTTCACCACCAAGGAGCTAAAGGCCAGGGTGTATGAGAATGGGGACCTGAAACAGAAGAAGGAGCTTTAGGAAGCCTTAGTCACCGGAGCCTTCCGCCGTCAGTACTTCGCAGATTGGATCTGAGAGCGAAGCCGAAGCTCCAGGAAATTGTTTGCTAATGGAGAGGACAGCAAGGGATATATTCAGCTCGTCGCTGGCCTTTGCTCTTTCAATTCTCAACGGCATGGATTTTGTTGGACAGTGCAAAAAGAGACAGAGCATGCCGGAAGAGGGCAGTCCAGACACGCTGGCCCCGAAAAGTTCTTGTTTTATCCACATATAAAAGCATAGATCTTATTCCCTCAGCCCATTGACTCATTTACTCAGACAAATAGTCACTCCGGCATCTGATCCTTCCACTTCTCTTTCAGCCCTTCCACATCCATCCCGCACAAGGCTGCCTTCTCGACGATCCGCTCGGCCTTGCCTTCGACGGGCTTGTCAATCATTTTCCCATCCAGACTCCAGGCGCCCTTGCCCATCTCCTCGGCACGTTTCTGGGCAATCACAATTCTCACAGCCCACTCGACCTCGGCGTCGCTCGGGGAGAAAATCCGCTGCACGGTGGCCACCTGGGACGGATGGATGCACTGCTTGCCATTGTAGCCCATGCGTTTGCCCTCCTCGCACTCGCGGACGAGGGCCTCTTCGTCGCCCTCGCCCCGGAACGCCGTGGCGACCAGGTCGATTGTGGAGGGGAGATTGTGCGCGCGCGCCGCGGTGGCGATCAGTTGTCGGGCGTAGAGGAATTCCGTCAACGACGGCGTGCGCGTGATACTCATATCGAGCGCGAAGTCCTCGGCCGCGAACACCAGGCCCTGCAGCAGGTGCGGCGCCGCGCGGCAGATCTCGGGCAGGTTGAGCAGAGACTTGGCCGACTCGATCAGCGCCAACACCCCTATCTGCCCGCGCTCCTGGAGATTCTCCCTGGAGCGCGAATGCGCGAGGACGTCGCTGATAAAAGTCAGATCGCTCGCGCTCTCCACCTTCGGGACGACCAGCGTCGTCAGATTAGCCGACTTGACCACCTCCTCCAGGTCGCCGAGCGCGAGACCGCTGCCTACGCTGTTTATCCGCACCGCCCGTTCTTTTATGTTTGGAGGCAATTCTTGGTCAAGGGCTTTGCGGACGAGCTTGCGGGCTTCGGCCTTCTTAGCCGGGGTAACGCTGTCTTCGAGGTCGTAGGCGATGCAGTCGGCGGTGAGGGTGCGGGATTTGTCAAGGAAGCGCTGTGAGGAGCCAGGAACTGTGGAGAGGATGTTAGCAAAGAGTGATGAAGAGCGATGTGTGGAAGTCTGTTCACCATAGAGCACCGCTCTGCGAAGGACGTTCTTCGCAGCCATAATGAAGGGCTGTATAGCTTGGTTGTTAGCTGGCTGGCAGGCTCGCTCTCCAAGTCTTTTGGAAGCTCCCTAGGCTGCGATATTCGGTCCAGCCGAGAGAGACCGACTCACGCGCAGAACCCCCTAGTAACAGGCTACTGGGCTTCCCTGTGCGAGAGAGAGTGCCACGTCTGACATGTCCGTATCACAAAATACAAGACACGTCGATGGATATTTCAATGGGTGTTGACTGACCAGGACTGCCTTACTCCAACACGACCACGGCGACGGGGCCAAGTGCGGGGAAACTTCCGGCCTCCGTTATCGGCTATATTGGAGATCGGATTAGTACCTCGTACGACTCGCCAGCCTCGCCAGCCTTGCCAGCCTTGTCCGGTATTCTCCTAACCGTTGATATGAGACTCAAAAGCATAAGGGTTGGCAGGACGAAGATAAAAACTTATTTGCATCTCCACTTCTGTGACCAGGGTTCCATGTGGGACAGGATTCCATATCACTTCTTCTCGGAAGATGTTCATCCATGTCCTCCGTCTCTTCTCTTCAAGGATTACAAGGGCCACATATGTATCAATATGTATCAAGGCACCGAGCCCGCCGTGTAGTTCTGGCCATCCACTTCCTTCGGTCAAGGTAGAGTAGCAATATTCCTCGATAACAAGGTCTGGAGGCTCTTTGCCCACCAGAAAATCTCTCAGATCGATAAAGCATCCTTATTTCAAAGCAGAGTCCTTGACTGGTACGCAGAGTCCCTGTGTCGTATTTTGAGTGCCGTGGACAGGACGAAAGGACCTGGGCATCCATCGCTGTCCTTCTTGCTCATCCGCGGATCGTCATTAACAGCAGTGCATTTGGCACGCTCTGCAGCATACCTATAAGTGTCTCCATCCGCGCAAGGGATGACGCTCTTTGAACAACCTCAGCGTCAAGGTCCAAGACGAGGGTGAGGCATATCGGCTCATCTCCAGTCCAACTTGTATTCCGCCAACAGACTGCATATATGGCTTCGCCATCTAGTTGACAGAGCAGGGCGCTGTTGGAATCGGGTTTCGTCAATGTTCGCCTGTAGCCCGTGACGCAGTTTGAACTAGAAAGGCAAGCATTCGTGGTATACTGGGTTAAACCTTCATAGTTAGTAGTGGAATGAACTTTCATCATGCCAGCGTCGGAGCCTCTCCAGCAATTTCTATGGCATCTTCTACGAGGGCCATCTTAGAGACGGTGAGAACAGACATCGCGCGAATTGGCGAATGGATCTTCTTGCTCGTGATTTAATCGCCTAGATGGTTCCGCTTTGCATGGAGAATTTGCGAGGTGAGAGTGCGTGATTCTTTTTGCATCAACTCGGACAGTTTGTCACAAAGAGCGACCTCCCCTTCCAGAACTTTGACGTCTTCTTCTGTAAGCGGACCTTGCTGGGCACTTCCTACTTCTTTCTGCGCCTCCGTCAACTTGTTCATCGATTCATAGCAGCGATTTAGCACCGAGTGATATTCCTCAACTTCATCATCATGAGGAATACGCTGGTGGATGATGGGTTCCAAGTCAATTTCGACACTGGAATCGTCACCGTTTTCGCGAATTTGACCTTCGCTATGAAGGAAGCTTAAGCTTTTCTCGTCTTCCTTGAGTTCAACCAGTGACATCGCTTGTAACAATGTTGCAAACTGTCCCAGGGCCCCGTCGATGTCAACAACAAAGATCGTGTGCATCTACGGCTGTACAATCGTATGGGAACTCCGCTTTGTAACGCCGCCCAATGTCGTCTCCCCATATCGCGCCATCTGTTAGCTGGAAGTAGACATGGCTTTTGAGCGTGCTCTCGTGCCAGGTACAGAGTCGATCTTCGCATAGGAGCATTTGGCAATGGAACATACATCATAATTTCTCAAAAGAGGCGAGCGACCAGGGCAACTCAGGGACAACGACACCGAAGTGTGGGACAGTGTAGGAAGATTAAAAGTCGCCTCCAAGTTACCGATGTGCCAGCCTACTTGAATTGGTAACCTCCTGACGAGAAACTTTTGCATCCAACGACGCGGTGGGCTGGAGTCAAGATCGTAGTATATCGAAAACCTTGCCAAATCAAATGCTTCACTTAAGAGGACTACTATCAAGAGGAATTGTTTTCATCGTCAATCAGGTATTGGGCCAGTCGAGAGACGTTCTCGGTTTCAGGCGCTGCCGGCTTGCCCCTGAAGACAATATAATATTCCGAAATTGGGCAACAAATTCCAGTCATGCGTCGATATCGTTGCAGCGTCGCATACGTACCTCGCGACTCGTCTGAGAGTCTGCTACCAGAAGGGCCGATGAAGCATAGTCGCATCAAGCGGCAAGCCAAGGGTGTCATATCATCCATTCTAACGAAATCCGTGATCTGCACAACGATGACAGCCGTGCCCAACGGAAAGATGGTGACATTGTAAGTTATATCTCGGGCGGGGTGATGAGTGTTGAGAATACTGCGACATTCCAAGGAGTGCAAGAGCATACAAATTCCAAAAATAAGGAGCACAGTCTGACAAGCGCAGAGCGAATCACTGTAGAATCGAAGGTGCCCTTCATTCACATCAAGAATGTTGGTTGTCTTTAGGAATAGTGGTCCTCTGTCATTCATCCTATACTGTTAATTACATTCGATATAGCGTTCGCTTAGACGCTATCGAGCATTTTTGAGGTACCCAGTACATACCTCGTATTCCGTGACAGACTCTGCCGCATATTTTTGAATCGGGCTTGAGAAACACACGCAGATCAATTGACGTCTGACTGCATATACACGCAAATGAATTCTCAGTATGATACCCTGTTTCTTGGTCTACTTCGTTAGTAGTCAACATTTAAAAATCATAACGCCATTGCACAACTTCGAATGCAGAGAAAATCCATCTCTCCGATGTCCTTGTCCCACTGCATGATGACTCGAAGGATCCTATTAATGACTTTCCACAGACCATAGCTGGCATCGAAAGATCAAGAGCTGGTGAGATCGACAGTCTTCTTAGAGCATTGGGAATAGGTACCAATGGCATTGTGACAGAGCGGAAGACATCACTTCAGATTGCGCTAATACAAATGGTTTAAGCAGATTGACAGAGCGAAAGGTTGGAAGACAGAAAGACACGAGGCCGCGGGAAAAATGGCTGATCGAAAAATTAGCTAGGTTCTTGGGACCAACAAAACCGTGGGATTGGGGGAATACTTCTTTAAAGTGTCTACCGACATCGATGCAGAGTCCGCCGGATCCCGCGACAGTATCTATTGAGCATCTCCGGGACGTAGGAATAGGAGGACATTATTCGACGACTAATTCGTCATGTGCTCAAAGACCGAGTGACGAGTCAAATATTACGACGATGGATGTTTTGGATCATCGCCATCGTGATGATACCAGATCGGAACGTTTGACGAGGGGAAAGGAAGCATGTACAGTAGTTCAGCACATGATCCAGCATCATTGCTTTCTCAGCACATTCACAAGTCTCTCCCTCGTCCATGTATTTGCTTGATCAGCGGGGAGATGGCAAAAGAGTCGTCAAGCACAAGCAGATACCATCTTTGACCAAGATGTTGTCATTCCTTTCCTCAGACGGATATTCTTCAGACCCTTCCCAAGACTGTCGCCGGTGTCGACGTGTAAGTTTCTGCCATAGACCATTTCGTTGCTCGTTACATGGGAAACAATAACACGCTTAGGTCTCTATTGAATACGATCGAACGCTGGGTCCCGAACACTACCACCTGCGTCACCCAATCCGGCAACTGGTCGGTTGTATGACCACCCAGCGAATTGCTGCTGCATAGTCTGGGACAGGACTGGGCCTTCGACATATGAGTCTTTGGGTACCTCGGACGTGAATTCCTTGTCAAAGTTCGCAGTGTCTCGAGCATCAACCTGGAAATGTGTTAGCGACAGCTCCCCTAGGAACTCAGTTCCCGCACTTACCACATTGGGCTTGAAGCTTGGTTCGTATTTTCTCTGTAGTAGTTTCCTCCAGTCAATACCAGCAAAGAAGTGGTGGGCTTTGATCTCTGCCGCTCCCCCAGCTCCCAATCGGCGCTCGGGATTGCGGTCAAGTAGCTTTTGAAGTAGATCCTTTGCTGCCGCAGGCACAATCTCGGGACCGGGGAAGTGCAGCGGTTCTTGAAGAATCTTGCGGTACATCTCGTTGGTGTTCTCGTCGTAGAATGGCGGTAGTCCCGTAAGCATCTCGTACAAGAGAACGCCCAAGGTCCACCAATCGACAGTTTTCGTGTAGCCGTGTCCGAGAAGTAGTTCTGGGGCCAGATACTCTGGGGTACCACAGAAAGTGTTGGTCCGGTCTTCGTCCTTCATGTCCAGCTTGCACAATCCAAAGTCACATAAGGCAATGTGGCCGGTATAATCCAACAGGATGTTTTCTGGCTTCAGATCTCGGTAAATGACCTTGAAGCCGTGGAGACATTCCAAGGCGCACAACAATTCTGCAGTGTAGAATCGAGACCGGTTGATATCGAAACGCTGTTCTTTTTGAAGGTGGTGGAACAGCTCTCCTCCGTTGACAAAGGCCAGGACAAAATAGAGCTTATCGGGTGATTGGAACGAGAACTTGAGCGGAGTAATGAAGGGGTTATTGATCTGCGCCAGCACCGATCTTTCCGCAAGAGTATGCGCGACTTCAGACCGAGAAATGATGTGAGCCTTTCGGATGGTCTTGAGGGCATAGATCCGGCCAGTGTCCTTCTTCATGACTTGCATAACTTTGCCGAAACTGCCTCTTCCTACAACCTTCAGGAGTTCGAAGTCATCGATCTTGAGGCTGCCCTGGCGGTTCTCAACGTAATTTACACCAACCTTGATTGAGCCAGTTCCAAATTGAATGTCCAGCCACTCGGTCCCAAGTTGACCCGCCTGCTTCTCTTGGGACAAGAACGCAGCTTCTGCTTTTTCATTTTCCTTCTTACTCTTTTTCGGGTCTGCGACGAATTGACGAGCTTCTTCGAACCTCGGAGTGACTCTAGCGCCGCCAAGGAATATATCTTCACTCCTACCGACGCCTGGTCGAGCAGCTGGATTGCGGAGATATAGCTGGACGCTTAGCTCGCACACTCTCGATACGTCGAACTTGAATGAGGTGTTGTCACCGGCCCACAGAGGGTTCTCTGGCGTGCCAGAGACAGCATCAACGAATACTTGTAACTTGTCAAAGTCGAGGAGGGCATAAGGCAAGTACTTGCTGCTGTATCTTCCGTGGATTGTGGGCGCAGCATTGATACCAGCGTGAGTTGAGACTGGTCGGTTCGGGGGTGCGTAGGATCCTGCAACAGACCCTGAGGCATATGATGAGCTTGGCCTGACTGATCCCGAGGTTCCCGAGCCATAATAATTGTTGAAGACTGATTGATATTGTTGTGGCAAGGAGAATCCTTTCCCCTCGTGAAGTGTGACTATCAGGATCCCAGGTTTGGTGGTCTGGACAGGGGGCGAGGTGAGCTGTTCCGAAGCGGCTGGTAGAGGGTGTCTGTAAGTCACCGTCGAGAAAGAGCACACTGGATAATGAGTGATTCAACTTACCAATCCCATTTCCTGAACTTGTGCTAGTATTGCTCTGGGTTGTTGACAGCTCCGGCGAGTCTTGAGCAGCAGGTGAAGCATCTTCCGCCTTGACGGTTGAAGTGGACGTGGATCGGCCAAAGCCACTCGTTAGAGGAGCCAGGTGAGTATCCTTTAATTCTTTGTTTCTGTCAGCTCGAGTCCATCTCAAGACGGCAGTTCTTGAATCAACATACTCTTTGTCAATCTCCACGACATCTTTGAGTGTTACGCCTCCGCCTCACGTCGATGACAGGTTGAAGATCACTGCTGAAGGAGGCAGACAGAGAGCCTGACAATCAAAAGGTAAAGTGTCGTCCGGGTACTGCAGGCACAGCCTTAGGGGTGTTGTTGACCGACAATATTCAAGGAGCGCGGGTACTAATCTTAAGTGCGGGTGACAAACGGTGCAAGGAGGGGCTGCGAGTGCGGCAGGACGAACAGCTGAAGGTGACGGAGGTGAAGTTTGTAAGGAGCGTTGAGAGGTGGGTGACTGTTCTGGAACGAAAGAGGAGGGGAGGCGAAGATGGATGCTGATGAATAACAAAAGATCGCAGGAGACGACTGTTGCGTTTGGTGAATCCGAGTTGACAACAGCACAGCAGGACGATACAGCCGGGGGCTTGAGTTTCAGCTTTCGGGGCGAAGCGTGGGCGGTGATGCGACCAGCAGAAGCCTCCACACAGCCTAAAGCGTTCGCACTGGTTGGGAGTCGAGTGCGGTGCAGGCTGCTGAGTGGGCCCTGGGCAACCCTAGGCCATTTACTCAGCCAGAGTCTCAGGGTCTGCCGGGCGGAAGACACCCTCTAGCAGATATCGGACGAAAGCTGGACCGGCAAGCATAATTTGAAATCACGTGGGTTTGTCTGGAAACGGAAATGGCTGCTTGGCGACTTGTGGCTGGCGGTGTTGGTGGCGGATATGAGCCCCCAACTTTGAACGTCAGTCGTACAACGACCACCCTGCAATCCCTGCCTACAACACCATCGTCACCACCATCAACACCTGGATGCCGCTCAAGGCCCGTCCGAAGCAGTCGGAAACCTGTTCGCTATACCGTCAACTCTCCTGAATCCGATTCCGAGCGCTGTGCGTCACCTACTGCGCCCCAACGGCCTCGAGACCCACCGGCTGACTCTGCCTGCGAGGACGCGACAATCCCTACCGAGTACGCGCAATATCTTTCTTCTGACTCTGACTGCGAGGAAGATGCTCGCATTGAGAGAAGCATGGGCGTCATAAGGAAAAACGCAGCCTCCCGCGGCGGTGACGGCGGTACCAAATACCACTGCGACGTCTGCTCCATCGATATCACATCGACTGTCCGTATATCTTGCGCCAATCCCGCATGCCGCGAGTACGATCTCTGTGTCCCATGTTTCGCTCGCGGAGAGCATTCAAAAAACCATGACCCACGCACGCACGAATACCACGTGGTGGAACAGAACTCGATCCCCATCTACACGGAGGACTGGGGCGCGGATGAGGAACTGCTCTTGCTCGAAGGCTCCGAGAGGTATGGACTCGGTTCATGGGCCGACGTAGCAGAGCATATTGGAGGCTACCGGGAGAAGGACGAAGTCCGCGACCACTACATCAATACCTACATCAACAGCTCGTTATTCCCACTCCCTGAATTGGCCGACCCTGCAGACACCCGGCTATTTGAGCGTATACCCAAAGATGAGTTTCAGGCTCGTAAAAAGCGGCGTATCGAGGAGCGCAAGGAAGCCGCCAAATCAGCGCCACCTGCAACACCTAAGCAGAAGCCAACTGCCTCGGTACCGGCCTGTCACGAGGTGCAGGGATTTATGCCTGGCCGTCTGGAATTTGAGACCGAGTTTGCCAACGATGCCGAGGAAGCCGTTCAGCACATGTCCTTCGAGCCTGGTGACGGTCTCGACCCCGTGACAGGCCAGATGGATGAAGAGACCACGTTGAAAATGACAGTCTTCGACATCTACAACTCCAGGCTAAAGGCGCGTACCGATCGGAAACGGATCATTTTTGAGCATAACTTACTGGAATACAAAAAGAACCAGCTTATCGATAAGAAGAGAACAAAAGAAGAGAAAGACTTGCTTCACAAAGCCAAGCCTTTTGCTCGGATGATGAATCATGAAGATTTCGAGGCGCTAAATCGGGATCTTCTTCTCGAGCACAATCTGCGCATTGCGATAGCGCAGTTGCAAGAATGGAAGCAGATGGGTATTAGCGACCTCAGAGGTGGCGAGAAATACGAAGCTGATAAACAAGCACGCGCTTTACGCAATCAACCACAGGGACAGTTTGACAGGATGCCTCAAATACCTAAAAAGGGCAGCCAGGTTCAGCAACCCGACTTGCCCACCGAGGCATCCAAGTTGACGACACCGGAATTGCCCCTTCGTTTCCAGCGCAAGCAAAAAACGTTACCTCAGTTCACTGACAGTCAGCCGGCTGTGCAGAACGATTTTGACAAACTCTTTGCTGAGGCTAGCGGTCCGGATAGCTCTGCGGGACCTAAGCCTAAAGTTCGCTACGTGGTGCAGCCGTTGAACGGGACGACACCTTGGAAACTGGAAGAGGATAAAACCTATGCCCCTGATTTACAACTTCTGAGCGAGGAAGAAATTCAATTATGCAATACACTCCATATCCGACCGAAGCCTTACCTTGCCCTTAAAGAAGGCTTGCTGAAAGAAGCCATGAAACAAGGTGGCCACATGAAGAAAAAGGAAGCTCGAGGAGTCTGCCGGGTAAGTGCGCCTGATTGATTAAGTGAACGTGTCGCTGACCACTGGCATAGATCGATGTCAATAAGGCTAATCGAATATTTGACTTTATGATACACTCTGGGTGGATTGCAAAGGCATGACGAATGAAAATATTGTGATCCTTGCCATCTCGGCATTTCCAGAACATGAGACGCTACCTAGTCTACCCGAACGGAGCATACGTCGCCAAGCTGGAAGGGGGACGCAGAAGCAATTGAGGCCTTCAATTATTTCAGACGCTACCGGTACTACGTACCTAGGTGTTTGAAACAAGAGCAATATCAAGCTCGGTGGCACCAGATATTGAACACGTGACAGATTCCAATGTGGGGCAAGATTCAAATGGTAAAAACGCCACAAACATCAAAGGTGCTGACGTCATCCCAAGCTAGCCGATCGCAGTACTCGCGACCCGAAAACATCTGCCACATTGAGACTGACTGCCAGTTTCGACCACCACTTGTTCAGGGCTTGAAAGAATTTAAATTCATTGCGAAAATGGGCGTATCGAGCTGCAAGGCTCCCTCTCTCGGCACTTGACAAAAGTATTGCGGGGTTTGATACGGCTGATTTTTCCTATCACGCTGTGTAGAGAATGGAACGCGCCACCCATCGAGAAATTCTGTCGATCCATACGATTCCCTTGACGCGTTCTTTATTGTACCACTAGTCGATTGGACGATGCAGACACCGCTTCAGCCACAGAATCAACGGATCGCTGCGGTTTAGGATTGTTTGAGCGTGTTAGCTTCTCACTAGTGTGTCGCGAAATGCCAATGCCGTCATCAGAGCGCCGTCTGGATGCACCTTGGCGCTTAAGACGAAGCCAGGTTCTCTGAGGCTCTCAGGGTCCAGGTCTGTTCCTAAGAAAGTGAGACCAAGGCCTCGATTTATGACTTTGGTGGCTCTTGTAGCCGATATGTGGCGTCATTTGATTTGGTTTGGGACAACGAGGCTGACGATCACTCCCTTTTTCTGAGCCTCGTCCACATTCCTACGTCACAAGCGCACCCAAAACCTGATTCAGGACACCACCATCATCGACAAGAGGGGTGACGGAGAAGTGCATATAATCTGATGCACAGGCACATCCTGGGAGGGTAGTCGACAGCGCTCCATTCAGATTACTTTTAATACTCCCATACCTTTGCAGTGCTTTAGGCAAGATAGCTCACAACCATCATCTCACCAATCAAGATGCCTCTCTTCGGACACAAGAACAACGCCCATGAACCAACGCCTGCGCAGACGACAGCTCCCAGATACTCGAACTCTGCTGACGGCAGTCCTCGAAGAGGCTTTTTCAGCCGGCATCGTTCATCCTCTGCCTCTTCCGCGGACCTCGACTCGCACAACCGTCGCCATGGTTCCAACAAGCTCTCCCACGGGTCGACCCGGAGCTCTGGCGGTCTCTTTCACCGTAATCACGAGGACCCCTCTATCATTGCTGCAAGGGAGCAAGTCCTCTCGGCTGAAAATGCCGAGCGCGAGGCGGATCGTGCCCTTGTTCAGGCAAGAGCAGCCGTGAGGGAGGCGAAGGACCGTGTTAAGATGCTTGAACGCGAGGCTGAGGAAGAGTGAGGCTCTCTCACGCTGGGAATTAGTCCATATTCGACACTAACATGGGCATTGTAGGGCTCGTCTGGCGAAGATCAAGCAGCACCAAGCCAAGGACATTTCGAAGCGAGCTAAACCACTTGGACGTGAGTGCTATTACGCCCCTGGGTTGGCGAGCGCGCAGACGTTGACATTTTCTGCTTTCCAGGTCATGACCACTATTGAGTTGCAAGTCAGTCATACAACGAGTCTGTCGAAGCACCAGTTGTTTAGAGATTGCGCTTCGTGATGGCCTTCGTGATGGCCTTGATGCTGGCAGATGTGATTGAGCGAATGTAACAATACTCTCTTAGAGATCCGTGTGTACCATTATGGTGTATCATTTGGCGATGTGATCGAGTCCAAGCGGACAAGCAGAATCTAAAAATTGGTCTACTGAATCTGGGAACAAGAAAATAATCTTTGAAACACACGTGCTTTTGCTTGAGGAACGACGAAAACGAGTAGCCTGTCAGAATTCCCTCCGCAGGGAGGTTAGACCAAGGGTCAGGTACTCGGTATTGTCCTACCGTATCACCATTTGCGACCTTTGATGCGCTTCCCACTGTGTCATTCTTTAGTATGGCGTAGCTTCTTGTGGTTATTGACCGTCCAATGCTGCCATCTTAAGCGCTCGTTTGCAAACCAGTAGCATACTTCCTAGGTACCTGTCAGTGTGGTTAAGGCTCTCACACAAGTGGCGAATGGCCCGATATCAGGTTATCGGAACAGGGCTTGGCAGATACTGTCTTAGGAGCTACTTAGTACGTAACTATAGCTGCAGGGTCCCTTGTGCGTGGTGCGCTCGTGCGGTCACCAGTCCGCGTGCCTTTGCTCCGATGCGATTATTTTGCTACCTAAGTAGCTATGTTGGGGTCACCGCTGGCCACGCTCAATAATTGCAGGACCCCGTCTTCTCGTCCTCTTCCTCTCTTCTGCTCTCACTCCTCGACCTCCTTTTCTGTTGACGGCGTAGATGTGGTTGCCGTAGCCCACTTCCTTGCTCGAGGCCCTGAAAGATGGCCACCCAAACTGTCGTCCTGCCCCGCGCCGCCCGGTCTGTCGCCCGACTCCTTCGATCCCAACATTTGCGAAGTGATACTGCTCGGATATGCAAGAGATGTGTTGCTACGGTGCAGCAGCGCAATGAGCAAGATGGCCCCGATTCCTTGACTTTCTCCGAACGGGCGCCGTTCATGGCCCAGAACGAGCTGTTCAGTCGACGCCATATTGGCCCTTCTCCCGAGGACGAGACAGAGATGCTCAAGGCACTGGATCCGCCTGTCAAGGACCTTGAAGATTTCGTACAACAGTCTCTGCCGCAGGGGATCCGACAGAGAGCCCCTACGTCGCTCATGGATGCACAGGGGAGACATAACATCAAAGGGCGCAGTGAGAAGCAAGTGCAGAGCGAGCTGGTCAAACTTTCAAAATTGAACACCCTCTCGCGTAACTTCATAGGCGCCGGATACTATGGGACAACTACTCCGTCAGTCATCACGAGAAACATCCTGGAGAACCCTGCCTGGTACACCAGCTATACACCGTATCAAGCTGAAATCAGCCAGGGGCGCTTGGAATCCCTTCTGAACTTCCAAACTGTTGTCACTGATCTCACGGGCCTCGCAATAGCTAATGCCTCTGTTCTCGACGAAGGGACGGCTGCCGCTGAAGCAATGACACTGTCTATGAATGCTCTTTCTACGTCTCGACTGAAGGCACCGGGTAAAACGTTCGTTGTTTCAAGTCTCTGCCATCCTCAGACAATCGCGGTTCTGGAGGCGAGGGCAGCAGGCTTTGGGGTCAGCATCGTGGTGGGTGACATTTTGGAGAATAATTGCCAGCTCGTCAAGGACCAGGGAAGCAACTTGGTCGGTGTCCTCGCACAATATCCTGACACTACTGGGGGCGTCTTTGATTTTCAGAGCCTCTCAGATGTTATCCATGCTGCTGATGCCACATTTTGTGTTGCCACAGATTTGCTCGCCCTCACTCTATTGAAAGCCCCTGGTGAATTTGGTGCCGATGTCGCCTTTGGAAGTGCACAACGATTTGGGGTTCCGATGGGCTTTGGCGGGCCACATGCGGCCTTCTTTGCCTGCAACGAGAAACACAAACGGAAAATCCCTGGTCGCCTTGTCGGTGTGTCCAAGGATCGACTCGGCAATCGCGCTCTTCGGCTGGCCCTCCAAACACGAGAGCAACATATCCGAAGAGAAAAGGCCACCAGCAATATCTGCACTGCCCAAGCACTCCTCGCGAACATGAGCGCTTTTTATGCTATCTATCATGGACCAGACGGTTTGAAAGATATTGCGCATCGGATATGGGCCATGGCTAGATTTATCCAGGTACTGATAGAAAAACACAGCACGACGCTCAAAGTGGTGACAAGCGGTCTCGGCGACGATGGCCTCGTGCTCTTTGATACCGTTACTCTAGAAGCGCAAGACACAGGCGCATACGAGAAGGTATTGGCACGCGCTTCCAAATTTGGAGTCAGTCTGCGAACCAATGTTCCCGGGAGTACCCCAGGTAAGCCAAGACTCGGCTTCTCGATAGACGAGGCGACCGGCAGCAAAAATCTGGTCAAGCTGGCGAGTGTTCTTGGGATCAAGGACAACGACGTCGAAGCTGCCTTGCAAGACCCGCAAATCCTGTCGAAGGTCAACAAACAGATCGCCACGGACAAACTGCAGAGATCAACGCCATTTTTGACCCATCCGGTCTTCAATCAACATCATTCGGAAACCGAGTTACTTCGATATATGCACCATCTCCAGTCGAAAGATCTTTCTCTGGTACACTCGATGATCCCCCTAGGTTCCTGTACTATGAAACTCAATGGTACTACGGAGATGCTACCCGTATCTAACGTCGGATGGTCTGCTCTTCACCCTTTCGCTTCTGGTGCAGATGGCTACAAGATTCTCATTGAGCGGCTGTCCAAGAATTTGGCAACGATCACTGGCATGGATGCCGTCAGCTTACAGCCAAATTCGGGCGCGCAAGGAGAGTTTGCTGGGCTCCGAGTGATTGAGAAATATCACTCCACCAGAGGCCAGAACAAACGAAAGGTTTGCTTGATACCTGTCTCTGCCCATGGCACAAATCCCGCATCCGCGGCCATGGCTGGGATGAAAGTTGTTCCCCTGAAATGCGACACGAAGACAGGTAACTTGGATCTCAAGGATCTGAAGGAAAAATGCGAAAAACACAAGGATGACTTGGCCGCCATCATGATCACTTACCCCAGCACGTTTGGTGTTTTTGAGCCGGCAATCAAGGAAGTATGTCAGATTGTGCACGACCACGGTGGCCAAGTCTACATGGACGGCGCCAATCTGAACGCTCAAATCGGCCTTTGCAACCCTGGCGAAATTGGAGCTGATGTGTGCCATCTGAACTTGCACAAGACTTTCTGCATACCTCATGGAGGAGGCGGCCCTGGTGTGGGGCCTATCGCTGTCAAGAACCACCTGCAACCATTCTTACCTACCCATCCTCTTGTGGATCCCCATCCTGGCCCAGATCGAGCTAGGACAGCGATCTCTCCAGTAAGCTCTGCGCCCTGGGGCAGTGCCCTCATTCTCCCTATCAGTTACGCCTACATCCAACTCATGGGTAGCGAAGGACTGAAGCATGGAACGGAAGTTGCACTGCTGAACGCGAACTATATCATGTCACGGCTCAGACCACATTACCCCATTGTATATACCAATGCCAACGGCCGGTGTGCGCACGAATTCATTCTTGACGCAAGAGGGTTCAAGGAGACTTCGGGCATTGAGGCAATTGATATTGCCAAGCGATTGCAGGACTATGGCTTCCATGCCCCTACAATGAGCTGGCCGGTGGCAAATACTCTCATGATTGAACCTACGGAGTCGGAGCCAAAGGAGGAGCTTGACCGTTTCTGCGATGCATTGATTGAAATCAGAAAAGAGATCAAAGCTATCGAAGACGGGGAGATGCCTCGACAGGGTAACGTCCTCAAGATGGCACCGCATCCACAACAGGATCTGATGCGAAATGACTGGGATCGCCCTTACACAAGGGAGCAAGCTGCATATCCGCTGCCATGGCTGCGAGAGAAGAAATTCTGGCCAACAGTAGCCCGTGTTGATGACGCCTACGGAGATACGAACCTTTTCTGTACATGTACACCTGTCGAAGGATATGAGCAAGAAGGCCTCACTGGTCATGGGGCGCCGATGCCTACATAATTTGTGATGCTGCAGTCTTCTTTATCTATGTACGGATATACGCAGCCGGACAACACATTTGCAACATTGGAAAAGCTTGATCGGAGTTCAACATTCTGGTCTAGCGTGGCGCAGATATTATGAGGGCTTTTCTTGATATTCTACCACGTAAGCGACGGCCTTCTTGGGCACTGGCGTCTACAAGAATTCAGCGCGAGCAATAATTCAACCCGCACCAGATACAGCAGCTGAAATTTCCTCCGTCGTCTTTGGGTTGATTTTTTGGGAAGCTCTCAAATCTCGACCGCGGACGGCGCGTTTGGGGCGTCGTTACTCGTGTGAACTCATGATTCAACCCTGCGATTGAGGTGGTTGGATTCTTTGACAGGTTTCGACATGTTCTACCAAGGACGAAAAACCAATTATGATAGAGGAGTTACCACTATTTTTTTCTCTCTCTCTCCAGTTTGCGACACCTGCACTTGAACACTGCTGAGGGCATTGCCTCAACAGTGAAAACGAATGTTGGCATCGTGGCTTGTCCGGAACGTTTCAACCCACCCTTTACCGGCTTTCCTTTTTAAAATTCGCCCATCAAAGATGACCTGAGCCGTCGACATCATGTCGTACAAGATTCTGTTTCAACAGTTCGCCTCTTTCCTTCCACCCTCTTCCCTTTTCTGCAGGATTTTGAAATCCCCTCGCGTGTTGATGTTTCACCTTGGAATTCCCGGAAGTGTGCGTCTTCCTCGATCTTTTGCTATCCTTAAATCCCTTTGGCCGTCACCCAGTCGCCACCGTTTATCCACTTTCTGTGGGTACTCAATGCTCAGATTCGCTTCGCACCACTCTTCCACTGTCCTGCATCCTCAACGCCACGCGCAACCTTGCGTGCCCCATTCTCGACGCCAGTCAAGGCATTCGCGAGGCCATCTCCCACGGGTTTGCCCAGCGAACCTGTAGCGCCAGTTATGGTGTCTCCGATCCCGCGACCTGCGGCGCCGGCGACGCCACCGACTGTGCGGGTGAGGCCCCCTACAGTGTT